AACTGTTGTCACCTTCTCACCAAGCTGCTTGGCGATGGTCTTGTAGCCCATTCCAGCCTTGTGTAGGTCTACAATCTTGTCCCTGACATCCTTGGAGCACTCTTTGGTCTTGGCCATGGTGGAGAGTTTGGAATCTGATCTTAAGAGTGTGCTCCTAATCTCAGCTCGTTACCTGTATAAAAGACACCTGGGAGCCAGAAATCTTTCTGATTGAGAGGGGGTCAAATACTTATTTCCCTCATTAAAATGCAAATCAATTTATAACATTTTTGACATGCGTTTTTCTGGATTTTTTTGTTGTTATTCTGTCTCTCACTGTTCAAATAAACCTACCATTAAAATGATAGACTGATCATTTCATTGTCAGTGGGCAAACGTACAAAATCAGCAGGGGATCAAATACTTTTTTCCCTCACTATAGGTAATCCTTTCTAATGCGGCTTTTTTGAAAGATATCACGTAGTAGAACTGCATAAGTGTTGCTCTCCACTTTCTGGAGGACTGAGTTTTGAAATCAGTGGAATTAGAGTATGACAGCTAAGGAGATGGAGAAAATTCAAAAAGAAAACACACAGAATGCTGTTGTATAAAACACCTGTCTCCGGATTACATCTTCAAACTAAGGGCAACCATGGCATCTGTGACAGAGAGGGAGAAGCGTCCATCCATGTATACAGGTAAGAGAGTCTAGCTAGCTACATTTTCAGATATTACACTTTTCTAATTTTGTCAGAAAGTCGTTTTCATTTCAAGTTAAAATGTACTGTTAGCTAGCTAATGTTAGCAGCTGGCTAGCTAGCTAACATTATGTGTATGGATCTGTGTAGTAATATTATTCGTATCTCAGTACCATTTGCATTGATAGTTATAGCCTAATGTTAGCTAGCTAACATTGTACCTGGTTGGTTAGCTACCTGCAGATTCATGCAGGGTAGAAATGTTATGAGTTGGGATTATGGTTAATTGTTTAGCTAGCTAGCTACATGTCTTAACAAAAGACTCCACTATGCAAGTAACTATTTCAATAGAATGTTTATGATGTCACTGCGACAACTGTCGATAGACGTAGCTGGTAAATTCGCTCTGGCTATCTACTCCGATTTCAGAGCACTCTCATCTGAGTGTGCCAGAGCGCAAAATAACTGACTAATTTACGAACGCTTAACACCGGTTGAATATGGCCGGTGTCAGTAAGCGTTGGCAAAAAAGCGTAATTAAATTGTTGCCAGCAGCACAGTTGCAGTCACCAACGCTATGGATAACATAAAAACAGCCTAACCAGCTCTGCTAGGGTGAGTAAAATGGTCAGAGTGAGCTGTTCTCTCATTTGTGTCTGGAAGTAGCTAGCAAGCTAGGGTGCTTGACTGTTGTTGTTAGGTTATCAACCCTACTCCTGGGCCAGAGCATCCAGTGTGCGCTCTGAACGCTCAGAGAGCGAAATGCTCAGAATTTACGAACAGACAATCTGACAACGCTCTGAGTTTACGAACGCCCAGAGCACACTCTGGCACTCCAGATTAAATTTACGAACACACCCGTTGTATAAGCCAGCCTTTAGTCTTGAAATCTTTGGTTGTTTAGTACATAGCCTCACATGTGAATCCTTAAAGAGATCGGTGGGGCTAAAGCTTAAGAGTGTGTGAACGATGCTGAATGGGTGTAGACAAAGAAGAGCTCTCCAGGGCCATTTTCTCAAAAGTGAGGTTACAAGTTTATCAACTTTCAAATTAGAATTACTTTCCCATTGTTCCTCAACTGTAGTGTATGATATACCATTTTCTAGCTCTGAGTCTCTAAAAAACACAATTTCAAATTTTGCTACATAAGACCGAATCGAGCCGGTCAGTCACAAATGCATATGCTTATGTCTAGTGATGCTACTCAACAGTAATTTGTTATGGTCACTTAAAATACAGTCCAGGGAGTATCAATCAAGTAAGAATCATGCCAAACTCAGCAAATAACAACTCACTACAAAGCCTGTGTTTTAGTGGTGGAAAGTGAATGTGGCAGCGTTCTCAAGCCCCTGTCATGAAAGCCATCGAAGCAGAACAAAAATATGAGTCAAGTGAAATATTACAGCCACAAGGCTATTTTTTTTCCTTGATGTAAAATGACATTAAACAGAGACTCTGAAGCCTTAATGGATTGGATGCGTATGGGAACTCAAAAGGACACGGGTGAGTATGGGAAGCACATGGCATATGAAGAAAATACTGTGAAACTGATTGAAAAAGAATCTGTTGCGGTTTTGTTCCCTCAACATTATGGACAGCTTGAGTCAAAATGTGTGTTCCATTGGCTCTGGACTTTCGTAGACTATGTGCCTTTATGACTGGGTTCTACTGGATGCTTGAAAGGGCAGAGCTAAAACAATGTCTCCTTTGAAACATCTAGTTCTCATTGCCACAGGCAATACATCTATTGTCTGCTTCACCACCAAAGACTGATTCCTTCTGGTTAAAGTCTGACAAAGGTAGTGCACGCACATCCAGCCAATTTCACAGATGCAATTTCACAGCTTCTAAACCTAACAAAGACCTTACGGTTAAAAAGCTGCACAATATAACTATATTTTAATTTTCTTCCTATAAAATCGGACACTTGCCATGTGCCTGCAACATGCTCATCTTGACAGAGACTGGCAGTTCATGAGAACACTTGCTTACAAAGTCCCATAATAGGCTCCCTGTCCAATGGTTCCAAAGAGTGAATGTCGTGATGAATCTTCTCTTAACCGGCTGTTTCCATAGACCAGTGAAATCTGGGGTACAGCAGCTGTGCATGCACTACCACAGACAGCTGGCTGAGGCCCAGCTCTCACATCCACCAGGTTGCACACACACACACACACACACACTCACACATTCACACAGGGAGGCAGGCATCAAGGCTAGAGGACACACTCGCCGCCCAGCGCATGACGGCATGACGACATGACGACAACCTGGAAGAGCTCACTCTAGAGGAGTCGCAAACCTGAAACAACAACGACGCACTGGTTTCAATTAACGCAACGGCCCTAGGAGCGAACACTCTCTGAAACAACTGTGTCGATAGAGTGGGGGGGGGAGACCTCCCATCCCCAGATGATGTCATTTCTTTCCCTCAGAAGCAAATGCTTTCGGGGGTAAAAATGGGAAAAGCATGTGGTTCTTACCACAACAGTAAGTGGGCTGACTTCTGCAACTGTGGCTTGCCTATCCAGGGATAACATTGCCTCCTGAGTACTGACCCTGGAGTGCTTTGCTTCAACAGTCTAGAGACGAGACTGTGAATAGTACCTTGCTCTTTGAACTTTTTTTGTCATTCAAAGCACATTGGAGTTTTGCAACAGGTATGTGTACAGTGAATGTGTACGGCTCCAACTGCTGATTTTCCAGGAATAAAGGACATGTTACAAATCTGTAGTCTCTGCATTTCCACCTCCCTCTCTTCCTCTATTGCTTTATAGCTATATACTGTATGCCATTTGGAGGACACTTTTCTCCAAAGCGACTTACAGTAGTGCTTGCATACATTTTCACATGGGTAGCCCCAGCAGGAATTGAACCCACAATCATGGCGATGCAAGCTCCATTGGATAACTCTTTAAATTACAATTTTTCCCATGTTCAACCCTTTCCACAGAGGATTCTACATGGAACCCAAAAGAGTTCTACCTGGAACCAAAAAGGGTTCTCCTATGAAACAGCCAAAGAACCCTTTTGGAACCCTTTTTTCTAAGAGTGTACCAACTGAGCATGGCAGGACCACTCTCCCATCTCTTGCTGCCAGGGTCCCTCACCTCAAGATGCAACAAGGCTACACTGGAGCATTCCAGACCAACATTTTATACCTTTCAACATTTTGATTCAGCAATTATAACTGAACATTTTGTTTTTTTATGACTAGCACTCATTTTCTTCACCAAAATCAACAGATCATGTCATGCATGCAGGACATGATGATATGATATCTGATTGCCATGGTTGAGTTCCCATGCCCGTGGATTCCACAACCATGTGAATAACTACAGAGATGGAGATGTTTGGTGGGGGTGCCAGAAGCAGATGTTCAAGAATCATGGCTGAATCCTAATTTGTGACGGGTGCTTGAGATTCACGCAAATCTCCCAATGACAGTTTTACATGATTTACTGTAGGTGAATGTTAAGTGAAGCTATTTGCCTGTGGCATTTGTGTGTGTGTGAGTGTGTGTGCATGCCTGTTAGAGCAGAGCTTCCTGCCCTGAGACAGCCAATCCCTGGGGTTCCTAGTCTGCCCTGTGAAGACATTCACTCTAACAGGGGAGAGGTGGAAAGAGGGAGAGTTTGAGTAGGGGGGTTTGGTGCATTAACAACAGCTGGAGCGGTTGACCTTGGTTCCCCTGAAACCAAAACAAGGCTCTCAGTAGAACAGACCAGTAGGGCCAAGGAGTTCACTTTACAGAGGGCCGCCCCACTCCGCAACAGTCTGGCTCTGTTTACCCATTCACAGGGATAGCACTTCCAGTCAGGGAGAGGCCCCTCCCCAGACGGTGTGTGGAGGGTGTGTGTGTGTGTGTGTGTGTGTGTGTGTGTGCATGTGTCTGTCACTGCCATAGAGAATGATAGAGGACTCTTCATTCTATCTGTCCCATTATGGCGTCTATGAGTGGGCGGGCAGAGCCATTGAGGCCATCTCCAAGTAGTCCATTTTCTTCTTCTACTACTTCTATGAGTTGGTAAACAAACTGAAAGGGTGTATATAAAACCAAGGTTGGCGATTGACTGCCACGTGTTATGGAATGTTTACTCACAAGTATAATTCATTGGCTGATCCCTCTTGATGACCTGGATGGAATTATGTGCTCCTTCCTTAACCCAGCTGACTACTTCAAAATGGTGAAAGTCCTCAATGGCGCTGCCCATGCTAAAACAAGCTTTTGTGCCCTAGAGTCCTCTATCATTCTCTATGGTCACCGCACAATGACTTACAAATATGACAACAACATATTGTTTTTGGTACAATTGTACGATATCAGAGTGCAGCATCATCAGGGGTAGCCACTGGAACACCAAGATAGAAAAGATAGATAGCAGTGCATACAGATAGAAACAAGTAAACAACAGTAAACATGTCGTCCCCCACGAATGATGCAGCAGAGGAGGGTCATCAATCCTATGTTGAACAGAGCTACAGTCTGAAATGGGGAGCAGAGCCGTGTTCTCTGTAACAGACACCAGTCATAAATCTGAACCACCATATTGGTGGCATGAGAACATAAGAAACACTGTGTCTTGGTCCATTAACTTACTATAAGGACATTTTTACCAAGAAGAAGCAGAACAGTGAGTCCAACCAAGAGGGAGGACCAGTAAGTATAGGGAATCTGTCATTTAGAGCCAAGTTGAACTTTTGGTTCAGTGACTATCCCTATCTTTTGTCTTCCTTACACCACAGTAAGGAGATTCAATAAACAAAACAAAACAAACCACAAAAACAAAATGCCCAGCCAAGAATACAGTGCATGAGCGAGTGATGATCGGCCATTGTTTTTCAGCCTGTGATTTTGATGTCATACATAGCAGGGAGTTTAGGATGAAACCAATGCATGAGGTACACAAGGGGACTACAGTTTTGATTGCAGTGCCCTTGTGGCATTCCTACCTCCAGCTCACCAGTTCTCTGAGTGTAAAAGGCAGGCAGACACAGACACAGACAGACAACACAGGTACAGTACTCACCCTCTCTGCAGTCGTTTCCCATAAAGCCGGGGCAGCACCTCCACTCCAACGCTGTCACCTGGCGATACGTCAGCATGTACGTGGGCCGGACAAGTGTCCTGTAACTGAGAACAGAGTATAGTCACTGACGGGCAGCACTGTGGCACTGGGGCAGATGTTCACTTCACGGACATCATTAGAGGCCTTTACACTGATGTCAGTAACATTAAGTCAAACCTTCACAGACGTCATTCAAATCCTTTACAAGGGAGAGAATACGTTGACCTCTTTACACGGGAATAACTCAAAATCAAAAGATGTTGAACCTGTCTATAACATAGGGATAAAATAACAATGCCGATCCAAGCTTAACATTATGACCGAATACAGGGAGTTCCATTAAAGTAGTCTTTCTGGATTGATCCCAAAGACATAAAACAATGGAATGCAACCAAACAGTTGCAAATCACACAAATCTATATGATAAACGGCTATGGTTTTACATCAGTGTCTTTTCTGGGAGCAATGGCAGACATGGGAATACTGGAATGGGAAAAATCATATTCATATGCCGTAATGGTGGATGACTTGCTGCTCTGTGTGGTGGTCTAGGGAGTAAATCTGCCTTCTTCAACCAACAAACAAATAACCTTTCCATGGGGCTTAAATATCAGTCATTAGACTCTCTGCAGTCAAAGCTGGATGACATTAAGGACCCTTTAGGCTAAAAATATACAAACATCATAATCATGATCCCTGTATAACGTCTGGCAGCAAAGCCCACCAAAATGTAGAGTGGCACTTGACCCATAGCTGTCCTGAAGACAACCAAGAGAAACCTGGAAATGGTAGCCCTTCCCCCAAAGCTTTCGGCTCAGCAAGATGGTTTGTGACCTTGTAAGCAACTGCAACCCATTAGGATGTATATCTATATAGTTTGTTGACAGTGAATTGACATTGTGGGGCTACTGTGCATTGCCTTTTTAATTACATGCAGTGACTTGAGCAGATAATCCCTCAACTCGAGATAGTCCCAGCGCAACTCTGAAATCAGAACCTCTCATGTCTGAAGTTGTATTTTCTACTGCATGGCACTCACACTGCATGAAGGGCCAGTGGGAGTGAGTGAGTGAACTGTGCGATCCATACCTGATGAGGTTAGAACAGGGTCCCGGCCAACGGCAACTCTGAAACATACGCTGTACCAGCGTCTCAGTCCCGTTGTGCACCTGGCATGACACAGTCTTCGACACTGTGTACTGACACCAGTTCCTACCAAAGGAGACCATACAGAGGCAGAGTTTTAGTGTGTGTATGTGTGTGTGGTGTCTGGGAGATAGGGATCAAAATAAAAGGCAGACAAAAATGTTTTCCGTTTAACTTTGAATAATAAACCAATTATTTTTTATTTGAGGAAAACTCTCTGGGCGGTCCACTTTTGTCAATTGAGAAGTTTGGATTAGCAGGCCAAATCTAGACCATAAAAGGATGTGAGGATGTGAAATTGGAAATAAAGTTGTTTATAGTGTCATAAACTGGAGCTGAGAGACAATTCACATACTAAGAGAGAGTATTAGATTGGCAGCAATGCGCAGCTTTGAACTTCTGCTCCATTCATCCATTCCAATCCAAACCCAGAACCACATCTTAATGCTCTCTTCCATTATTGCCAGTACTGCTTTTCATTTCGTTATTCATAGCAGACAAGGAAATAGTTGCACCACAGTTATATACTTTTGGCTAAAGTCAATGCACAAGCTCAAGCATAGTAGCATACACAAGTCCAACTTCAACAGGATTGATAACTATATAAAAATGTATATTTCTACAGATCAGTAGCTGTTTAACATTGAACAACAACTTGAACTTATAATCACTTCTCTGATGAATACATGAGTGACTTCATTAGGGTTTAATTTAGCCTACCTATTTGCTTGAGGTCCACTTACCTGCGAGCCGCGTTGGTGCCTGCAGGGGGTCCAGCGGTGTGTTCAGTGTGGATGCCTTGCAATGTCACACCTGGAAACTGATAGATAAACCCGGTCCCTCGTGACAGACTGGGTGAAAACATCCAAATACAGAGAATGCTAAAAATGATTGAACCTGTCATTGTCCGAGAATGTAGGTTTCCTTTCGAGTAAGAGGTTGAACACTACCTGTATTGTGAAGTGGATAAAGTTTGGAGACGCGCGTCTGGGAAGTCCTAATATATCATTAAAGTAAATGAATACCATATAAATCTGCAACGTCGTGAGACATTCTGTAGCCTACTGTACTCCCAGTCACCGCCTTTGTCGTGTTGCTAGGCTTCTGCCTTCCAACTCTGGAGGGGTTGTCTGTTCTGCAGCAGCGTCTGAGCGCTATATACGCACTGGAGTTTGGGAAGCTCGACGCAGTAGTTTTTGCGCATGGTGTATTATTACTGCTCAGCAATGTGGAAGGGATAAAGTTCACCACCATCAACAGAATAGACGGTGGTGGGCTAGATATTAGGTTTACATGTAAGGAATAGGAAGACATCAAACGTTATCTATACATCATTTACGAGGGACCAACATTAAAACATAGCCTAAGAAGTGCATAAATTCACAGGTTCAAATCAAATGGTGATGCAAATCATATCGATTTCATTGGTCAAAAACTGTAAAAAGTAACAATAAATCTGAAGGAAACAACTAGTATTCATCAATAGCTCTTTGGCTCTGATATGTCACCAGGAGAGCTGGTAGCCTACATGGTAGTTAGAGTGGCAGGTAGAGTGCATTAGACATTGTTACATAGTAGCCTACTTACAACTAATATAACTCTCTTTTGATCTCACATTAGCAGAATTTGATAATCATTTTAATAAAGAGGAGGTCCATGTAACAGTCCCTTGGTCACATCATCAGCATGTCAAGGAATTGCAGCAAATGTAAAAACAGTGCCATATGTGGTATTTTATTAAATAATTATGCAAAAGGTCTTTATGAATGCAAGAGTCTACTAAAGAGTCCAGAGACTTCATCTTCAACAACAACAACAACTTGTCTGAGAGAAAACATACAAATATAATTCATTTGTGCAACAAAGCCACATGTAATTTGTAACCTACAGATGGGCTATGTCATACAGAATATCTTAATACTGTCTAAAACAAAACAAACACATTACAAACAAAAGCATTGGTTCACTGGAGGAAGTAGGATTATGAATAGTCATTTAATAATACTGTATGAACATACAAAATATGAGTTATGTCATTGCTTAGTCTGAGTATATCCATTGCACATTACCTTCGCCAACCACTTTAATCAGTTCGTTAGCACCCTCTTGTGGTCACAGTATATCATTGCCTCTGTGGTGAGTTCCCAGACAGCCTGTCCACTCCAGCTCTGTGTCCCACATCCCCTCTCCAGTCATCTGCACTTTCTCTGGATCAAATCTCCAGTAGTGCCGCTCCTTGAAGAAGTACATCTGTCCATCAGGGTGGCTGACGGCTCCGTTGGTCCCCCGGGGGACCCCCCTCCAGTCCTCCAGGCTGCGGGGGTAGTATGGCTCGGGCCTCAGGGTCCCCAGGTTGAGCACAAAGTAGAGCTGGCCCTTGAACACCACCAGATGGCCCAGGCGGGGGTAGTAGAAGGCCTGGTCAGGGTGTCCAGGGAGGCCCAGCTCACTGCTCCGCAGGGGGAAGCCTGGGTCCACACCACTGCTTGAGTAACGCCACACTCGCCTACCTGGGGGAAGAGACGCAAGGAGGAAGGTGCTCGTAGTGTGAGATGTGAAATTGCAATGCAGAAACACATATATGAGGACACAAACTGAAAAAGTAGTCTGTGTGAAACATTTCTGCTATAATCTACCTGAACTCTAACCCCAACTGTGATACAGAACAGTTACTACTGTAACAAGAACAAATCATTTCAGGTACGTTTATTGCTGGGTAACTTGTGTCTTCATTTTCACACTACCTTTGAAAAAGTAGAACTTATTGTCCATCTGTGAGTAAGCAGCTGCCTCAATGGCGAGGGGTAGTCCTGGCCAGCGGTTCTGCAGAGGTAGAGGGGAGCTGGCCTTGCCTGCAGGAGACACAGTCCAGAACAGCCCACCACGGAATACTAGGCTGGTACCATCTTGGTCTGCAAGGTAATATAAAATAAATTATTTACAGGTATCAGAGTATATCACTGTCTTCAGAAGTCAATGAGGAATTCTCAACCTACTGTTCATGTAAACTGCTAAGAGATTGATTACCTTATGTCCCAAAACAGTCATAGGCCAAAATCCACCAGATGGTGCTGCTTACTTGTCATATTAGTCTTGTTGGAAATCTCAAATCTAATCCAAAACTGCTTCTAACCTCAAATATGCTAGGTAAGTACAACTTCCAGTCTGGTGACCGAGAGCCAATAATTTCAATGGGACCTATTTTTTTGCCTTTCTAGCATGGTCAGATAGTGACCACCAGTTAAGTCTTACCCATGGTGAGTGCATCAAAGAATCCCCTGCAGTACGGAGGTGGGGTGGAATCAGGCTTCCCAGTGCCACCTTCAGACAGCTCCCAGTCCTGCAGGGCAGAGCTGAACACCTGACCAGGCAACTGGATTACCTGACCGCTCTCTGGCTTCCCTATGGAGAACATTCAATGACAAAAAGGACAGTAGCTTCAGTAATGTATAAGCTTTTCTGACTATACATAATATACATGCATATTCTTCTATGTTACTACAATAGACTAGGTGCATCTGCAAAAAGCTTGACTGATTGATGTATTTCTGACTGCACATTTACAAGTGTAGTACCCACTGGGCACAGATGTGTAGTACCCACTGGGCACAGATGTCAGTTCAACATATAGTTTTGATTTACATTTGGTTGAGTAATCAACTAACGTGAATTCAATGTGAAATCATCAAAACATTTCACCATGTCATTGGATTTAGGTTAAAAGTTGAGTGAAAAAAGACAAAATTCCCTTATGTTGATGACTTTTTTTCAAATCCAATCAGTTTTCCACGTTGATTCATCGCCATCACATTACATTTTTTGGTTGAAATGACATAGAAACAATGTTGATTCAACCAGTTTTTGCCCAGTGGGTACAGATATGACCTATATACCTGCTTCACAGCATGTTTGAGAGGTAACATACACAAAATACACTAATTGCCAGATTTGGCACACCATAACATTGCAGAATGGAAAACCCAACACATCACGGATGATTGAGTGCTGAGATAGCTGACAGCTGAGCTGGCTTTTGATTTACTGTATTCCAATGCCAGAAAAAGTCAAGAGAGCCAAATGATTTTACAATGCCACTGAATCGCAGACACAACGTCTCCTTTGATTTGTCTCCAGATGTTGCCCACCTGTGATGTTTGGAAAACATTGAGCAAACATTTGTGTAAAGGTCTGATAAAATCGGCATCCCTAAGGAGAGCGAAACAAAACATGGATAGAAAGTTTGTCTGGCTTCTCCATGTTATACTGTCAAAATGGAAACGTTGATGTACGAGGAAGTTGCTTGTTTACTTTGGTGTGACCTTGAGGGGACAAGAGGATGGGAAAAAAGACTGATCAACACTGTCTCCAGCTGCCGGAAGCCTGGCTCTGGGATATAGTGATCTCTGGACATCCCCCTGGGTACAGCATTGGAGTGGTTGGATAGAACAATTTTAGTTTATACAGTAGCCTATGCTACCGTGTGTGATACCCTCTAATGAATGCAATGGCTTAAGACACACATTTAATATGAAAAGATTCCCTCCTTTAGCTTTTTCAGTTGATGCTTCATATATCACAGGGTGGTCGGACTGTCGGACACTATGATGTCATGGTGAATGATAGCACAGCAGATGGTGATGGGTTAAATACATGGATGCTGATCCAATCTCTAGTCAGATCTGTGGAATAAGTTCAACATGAGGTCTCAATGTCATTATATCATCATTTCCTCACCCTCATGTAACCTTGTTTCCTCCTCAACCTGACCACTGACTATTACCTCCATATGTTCTCTTCCACAAGTTTTTTTCTTCCACTTCAATGTAACTTTGCTTGGACTACGCAATTTTCTTTGTACAGTGGTAGTTGGCATGTAAAGTGACTGGTTAAAAATCCTGTTCAAATTCAAATTGAATTTCAAATAACTTTAATGTTCCTCTCTCAGAATGGAGTAGGCCTACACACCATAGAGCTGCTGTACAGCAGTGATGTCATCCCAGCTCAGCACCGTGGCTTTTCCCAGCTTTTTGTAGTAGGGGGACATGAGAGCATGGCGCACAGGAGAGTGCTCCAGGCCCAGAGTGTGGCCCACCTCGTGGGCAATCACCATGAACAGGTTGTGGCCCTTGTAGCCGTTCAGTGTCCAGCGCTCTGCCATGTCAAAGTGGGCCTCCCCTCGGCATGGGAAGAAGGCATGCGCTAGGGCGCCTCCTGGGGGGAAAAACAAAAACATACAGAGGGTTCAGGAGTGGAAGAGAAGCTTCCCAAAACAACCCCTTGCCCTACCACTTCAAACTGTGCAGATCTGAAGGAGCCAGGCAGGTATACGAAATATGGTAGGAGCTTCTCGACTCCCATTTTCAGGCTAGGTGGAACCATCAACATGTTTCTTAAGCCTATCTGGTCCATTAAGATCTGGAAACACTAAAGCGGTAGATCAAGAGGGATCTGTAAGCAAGGGAACATTGTGACAGCTGGGGTTAGTTCCGGGTGAGATCTTTCACAGCTGAAACCAATTGATCTTTGGAAATTGCCCTGTTTGAAAATGCATCCTTCCTTCCTTTAGGTAAACTATGATCTTACAGGATTCAATCAAAATGTCAAACCACTACTAGAGGTTATACTGCTATGCTCCCCACCTGGACCATCAAAGGCGTTGCCCATGCCGTCGTTGTGCTCCCCCTCGTAGAAGGCCAGCCGGATGTCAGCTGACCCCTGGGTGACCTCTCTGAAGGCCAGGGCCGACACGTTACTCCACAGCTGGAAAGCGGTGCGTACGGCTAGGGCCACCTGACCCCGAGGGAGGTGGCCAGGCCAGTTCACCACCCGGTAGGTCAGGTGACGCTTGTGCCACCTCTCACCTGCAGAGAGATGAGATAGTGGACTGATGAATATAGAGCAGCAAGGGGGACTCATGACCAAGAAGTGAGATATTATATGAACGTTGAAAAAGAGTAGTTACGGTATATGGGTCACTAGCACCCACTTTTGGGAGCACTGCTGTGCAGGGTAAGATTCAAATTGTCAATCATGCAGCTGGGAGAGAGGAGGATAAGGGGGAGGGAGAAGGACTGTGAGAGAGAGAGAGAGAGAGATGAGAGAGAGAGAGAGAGAGAGAGAGATAGAGAGAGAGAGCAGAGAGAGAAGAGCAGAGAGATGAGAGAGAAGAGGAGAGAGAGAGGGAGTAGAGCGAAGATACGGAGAGAGCAGAGTCGAGGGGGGAGGCAAAAGGAGGAGGTAGAGAGAGATGAGCGAGGGACTAGGCAAAGAGGCGAGAGAGGGAGGTTTGCAAATTACTGTAATGGGGATGTGTGTTTCTTTTTTAACAATAAGGGTGAATCCTTTAGCGAAGTGCATAGAGAGTAATGTTTATTACATTACTTGTGGTAACATCAGTGACACAACTTTAAAAAATGTTAACAACTAATTCAGAAGAGCTCTTGCTGTGTAGGATTCGTAGGAGTGGTTGTCTAAGGCAATAAATCAATTATTTTTGTGTCAAAACAACTCCATGCATCTTTGCAATAAAAATAACCTTGTCAATTGACTGCAGCAGAGTATTCCTCAATAAGACCCATTCACAAAGCAAGGCCACCTCACACATGTCTGTAAAAACACTGGTTTCTAACAGAGGCACAGACCAGAGCACAAATGAAGGGCAAAGGTGGGAAGAGATGGTCTTCTTCACCTATATGAGCTTAGAGCCAGAGTGTGATAAACACATTTCAAGAGCTTGTGTGAAATCGCTCAGAGACAAAAACCCTACAAGGTTGAACCTTTTTGCCAGCTCTCCTTGAAATAAAATTGATTGAGAACAATTGTATAGGAAACTCTCAATTTCTTTGTCTTGGACACAACATATCTGAGAATTTGCTAATTTTAAACAAACCAATTCTTTCAGCATGCCTCATTGGTGAGACTAGATGAGCTAAGACTGTTCCAGCATGCCTCATTGGTGAGATGAGCTAAGACTATTGGTGCAATAGTTTGCGTCTCTCTGGCACTCAACCAACTAGCCAGTAAGAGCCAGCCCCTGCCTTGACTTCTGCTGGCTGCCTTCACTACTGTACTCTAGATGGACAGATATATAGAACTATTCTCCTATACCTCACTTACATTTGAAAGAATGCCATGTTCTTCCCCTGAAATTCCCTGAAATCTTGATGAGTAAAAATTCTGTTAAGTTTCATTTGGGACTAAAACTGCCTCTTTGCAGAAACTGTCCTTCAATATCCTGTTCAAATTTAGGCTATCTAGGTAAAATAATACCTCAACCAAATAGAATCTGTGTGTGTAATCCATATGGATGGGATGTCTCTGAAATGGGATAGCTCCAGAGGATCCTGAGCCTTCCTGCCATGGACTCTCTCCCAGCGTCTTTGCACAGGGAGCAGGTGGCAGCTGTCAGGTATAAACTTGAAGCTGGAAAAGTGGGCAGTATGACGCCTGTGTCTGCATTCTTCTAGTATTATCCAATCACTTAAGGGGCTGTGTGGAATTACATACTTTTCTCCATCCAGACCACAAACACCAGCACCCTAATACCCAAAACCAGCTCCATTTACCACTGAGCATGTAGGCCTATCTATCACACAGTGGAGATGGGTTGGACAGTCGCCATATGGCCCTGGGAACATTGAAAAGACTGTTGTATGTCTTAATAATTTAGGCAGTGGTTCTCACAGACTAAAAGGGACTGGGGAGCTCATTTAAGATAAAATAGGATGTGTGTGCAGAGAGTTTATATCTAATTTAGAATGTGCTTCCCACACACAAGCGTAGATTGGAGAATTCCCTGAAGATATATAAATGGCTGTGTGTGTAGATAGCCTACATACAGATGTAGGATCTTAATTTGATCACCCCGTTGCAGAACATTCCTGCAATGCAGGACATTTCAAACTTGTTGTGTATTTGAGGTTTAAAAAGGCTTCTGAAGTTTATACATTTTCAGACTTGCAAATGTATCCACCCCTACAAAAATGTCCATTAATTATATCCACATAATAATTCACATTTCCTGTTGCTGCAGGATCCTTGTCCTGCTGTAGCAAACTGGCTCAAATTTACAGCAGTGGAGGCTCAACAGAGGAGGAAGGGAAGGATCAGCCTCCTCAGCGAATTTCATTAAAATAGTGAAACATTGAAAAAGCTATACTTTTTAGATTAAACTATACTAAATATATTCACGTCACCAAATAATTGCTTAAAACACACAGTTTTGCAGTGAATGTCAACAGTACAGTGGGGGAAAAAAGTATTTAGTCAGCCACCAATTGTGCAAGTTCTCCCACTTAAAAAGATGAGAGAGGCCTGTAATTTTCATCATAGGTACACGTCAACTATGACAGACAAATTGAGAATTTTTTTTCCAGAAAATCACATTGTAGGATTTTTTATGAATTTATTTGCAAATTATGGTGGAAAATAAGTATTTGGTCACCTACAAACAAGCAAGATTTCTGGCTCTCACAGACCTGTAACTTCTTCTTTAAGAGGCTCCTCTGTCCTCCACTTGTTACCTGTATTAATGGCACCTGTTTGAACTTGTTATCAGTATAAAAGACACCTGTCCACAACCTCAAACAGTCACACTCCAAACTCCACTATGGCCAAGACCAAAGAGCTGTCAAAGGACACCAGAAACAAAATTGTAGACCTGCACCAGGATGGGAAGACTGAATCTGCAATAGGTAAGCAGCTTGGTTTGAAGAAATCAACTGTGGGAGCAATTATTAGGAAATGGAAGACATACAAGACCACTGATAATCTCCCTCGATCTGGGGCTCCACGCAAGATCTCACCCCGTGGGGTCAAAATGATCACAAGAACGGTGAGCAAAAATCCCAGAACCACACGGGGGGACCTAGTGAATGACCTGCAGAGAGCTGGTAACACACTACGCCGCCAGGGAGTCAAATCCTGCAGTGCCAGACGTGTCCCCCTGCTTAAGCAGTACATGTCCAGGCCCGTCTGAAGTTTGCTAGAGTGCATTTGGATGATCCAGAAGAGGATTGGGAGAATGTCATATGGTCAGATGAAACCAAAATAGAACTTTTTGGTAAAAACTCAACTCGTCGTGTTTGGAGGACAAAGAATGATGAGTTGCATCCAAAGAACACCATACCTACTGTGAAGCATGGGGGTGGAAACATCATGCTTTGGGGCTGTTTTTCTGCAAAGGGACCAGGACGACTGATCACTGTGTAAAGGAAAGAATGAATGGGGCCATGTATCGTGAGATTTTGAGTGAAAACCTCCTTCCATCAGCAAGGGCATTGAAGATGAAACGTGGCTGGGTCTTTCAGCATGACAATGACCCCAAACACACCGCCCGGGCAACGAAGGAGTGGCTTCGTAAGAAGCATTTCAAGGTCCTGGAGTGGCCTAGCCAGTCTCCAGATCTCAACCACATAGAAAATCTTTGGAGGGAGTTGAAAGTCTGTGTTGCCCAGCGACAGCCCCAAAACATCACTGCTCTAGAGGAGATCTGCATGGAGGAATGGGCCAAAATACCAGCAACAGTGTGTGAAAACCTTGTGAAGACTTACAGAAAACGTTTGACCTGTGTCATTGCCAACAAAGGGTATATAACAAAGTATTGAGAAACTTTTGTTATTGACCAAATACTTATTTTCCACCATAATTTGCAAATAAATTCATAAAAAATCCTACAATGTGATTTTCTGGATTTCTTTTTCTCATTTTGTCTGTCATAGTTGACATGTACCTATGATGAAAATTACAGGCCTCTCTCATCTTTTTAAGTGGGAGAACTTGTACAATTGGTGGCTGACTAAATACTTATTTTACCCACTGTAGCCTTAGCAGCACTCTGTAGGGTAGCACCATGGTGTAGCCGGAGGACAGCTAGCCTCTGTCCTCCTCTGGGTACATTGACTTCAATACAAAACCTAGGAGGGGCATGGTTCTCACCCCCTTCCATAGACTTACACAGTAATTATGACAACTTCCGGAGGACATCCTCCAACCTATCAGAGCTCTTGCAGCATGAACTGACATTTAGTCAACCCAATCAAAGGATCAGATAATTAATCTAGTACTGAAGGGATAAGCTACAAATTTCACTGCAGTGCATAAAATGTGGTGAGTAGTTTACTCAAAGAGAGAGAAAGACAAAAGTTGAACAGTTTTGAACAAATTAATTTATTCCAAATTAAGGAGAAGCAAGAGAGAGAGAGAGAGAGAGAGAGAGAGAGAGAGAGAGAGAGAGAGAGAGAGAGAGAGAATGAGAGAGGGCTAGCTATATTTCGTAGTATATATATTTTTCACTTTCACTTACTTAGCTAGCATCGAATGCAGCTAGCTAGTTTAGCCTACTCAAACACCCGGCTCAGATAGAGAGAGATGCTATGTTAGCTAGCTGGCTATAGCTATCCAACACTGGAACTCAAGGTAAGCTTTTGGTTTTATAAATGTATTGCCACCGGGGCCTGCTGGTGTAACTGCTTGCTGCTGACTGTACGCTGTACTGCATGATTGTAGCGGGTTTACTAACGCCTTAGTTCTAGTAGCTATGTAGCCATTGCTAGCTAGTCAACGCTACCAGCTAGCAGTACTATAGCAACTAAATACAATATAATTTTAGCCAGCTACATTCGTTCGCAGCGACGCCGTTTTTCAAACAAAGTCAACACAGCAGCCATTGCTAGCTAGCCAACACTACCAGCTAGCAGTACTGTAGCAGCTAAATACAATATATTTGTGCTAGCTAGCCAACGTTTAATTATTGCTGCGTTATGAAAGGAACTAGACACGGACACGAATTATCTGTTTAGTGTGTTAACACACTATTGGTAGTTTGTTGTAACCAAGTATTGGTGCTAAACCGTGTGTTATTGGATGCTAGCATGCTAGTTAGCTATGGCGTCATAGTTAGCTAGCTGAATAAAGTAAGTTGAGTCTATTCCTTGAAACATTGAACCGCTGTAGTTTACAACAATTCTAATTTCTAAAGTGGAAGTTGGGAGAGTTTTATTCGGGTGTTTCAGTGAAACAATTATAGTCTCTGAGGTGGAAGTTGGGAGAGTTATATTTGGGAGTTGTGGTGAGGGAGGCCCCGCTCTCTCCTTTCCCTGATGTTTAGTTCATTTCATTCCGATCTCCTCTGCATTATTGTAGCCATTTGCTACAGCCTGTCAACTATGCCTCTGCCTATCCCTGTTCTCTCCTCTCCGCAGAGGCTACACAAACGCCTCACACCGCGTGGCTGCTGCCTCTCTAACCTGGTGGTCCCTGCACGCACCACACACCTGGAGTTCCAGGTCTCAGGCAGCCTCTGGAACTGCCGTTCTGCTGCCAACAAGGCTGACTTCATCCCAGCCTATGCTACCCTCCAGTCCCTCGACTTCCTGGCGCTGACGGAAACATGGATTACCACTGAAAACACTGCTACTCCTACTGCTCTCTCCTCGTCTGACCATGTGTTCTCGCATACCCCGAGAGCATCTGGTCAGAGGGGTGGTGGCACAGGAATCCTCATCTCTCCCAAGTGGACATTCTCAATTTTTCCCCTAACCCATCTGTCTATCTCCTCATTTGAATTCCATGCTGTCACAGTCACTAGCCCATTTAAGCTTAATATCCTTGTCATCTATCGCCCTCCAGGTTCCCTTGGAGAGTTCATCAATGAGCTTGACGCCTTGATAAGCTCCTTTCCTGAGGATGGCTCACCCCTCACAGTTTTGGGGGATTTCAACCTCCCTACGTCTACATTTGACTCATTTCTCTCTGCCTCCTTCTTTCCACTCCTCTCCTCTTTTGACCTCACCCTCTCACCGTCCCCCCCTACTCACAAGGCAGGCAATACGCTTGACCTCATCTTTACTAGATGCTGCTCTTCTACTAATCTCACTGCAACTCCCCTCCATGTCTCCGACCACTACTTTGTATCCTTTTCTCTCTCGCTCTCCTCCAACACTACTCACTCTGCCCCTACACAGATGGTAATGCGCCGCCGCAACCTTCGCTCTCTCTCTCCCACTACTCTCTCCTCTTCCATCCTATCATCTCTTCCCTCTGCTGAATCCTTCTCCCTCCAATCCCCTGATTCTGCCTCCTCAACCCTCCTCTCCTCCCTTTCTGCATCCTTTGACTCTCTATGTCCCCTATCCTCCCGGCCGGCTCGGTCCTCCCCTCCAGCTCCGTGGCTTGATAACTTATTGCGAGCTCACAGAACAGAGCTCCGGGCAGCTGAGCGGAAATGGAAGTAAACTAGACTCCCTGCGGACCTGGCATCTTTTCACTCCCTCCTCTCTACATTTTCTTCATTTGTTTCTGCTGCTAAGGCCACTTTCTACCACTCTAAATTCCAAGCATCTGCCTCTAACCCTAGGAAGCTCTTTGCCACATTCTCCTCCCTGCTGAATCCCCCCCCCTCCTCCCTCTCTGTGGATGACTTCGTCAACCACTTTGAAAAGAAGGTTGACGACATCCGATCCTCGTTTGTTAAGTCTAATGACACTGCTGGTCCTGCTCACACTGCCCTACCCTATGCTTTGACTTCTTTCTCCCCTCTCTCTCCAGATAAAATCTCGCGACTTGTGACTGCAGGCTGCCCAACAACCTGCCCGCTTGACCCCATCCCCTCCTCTCTTCTCCAGACCATCTCCGGTGACCTTCTCCCCTACCTCACCTCGCTGATCAACTCATCCTTGACCGCTGGCTATGTCCCTTCCGTCTTCAAGAGAGCGAGAGTTGCACCCCTTCTCAAAAAACCAACACTCGATCCCTCTGATGTCAACAACTACAGACCAGTATCCCTTCTTTCTTTTCTTTCCAAAACTATTGAGCGTGCCGTCTTTAGCCAACTCTCTTGCTATCTCTCTCAGAATGACCTTCTTGATCCAAACCAGTCAGGTTTCAGGACTGGTCATTCAACTGAGACTGCTCTTCTCTGTGTCACGGAGGCTCTCCGCACTGCTAAAGCTAACTCTCTCTCCTCTGCTCTTGTCCTTCTAGACCTGTCTGCTGCCTTTGATACTGTGAACCATCAGATCCTCCTCTCCACCCTCTCCGAGCTGGGCATCTCCGGCGCGGCTCACTCTTGGATTGCGGCCTACCTGACCGGTCGCTCCTACCAAGTGGCGTGGCGAGAAGCTGTCTCCGCACCACGTGCTCTCACCACTGGTGTCCCCCAGGGCTCAGTTCTAGGCCCTCTCCTATTCTCGCTATACACCAAGTCACTTGGCTCTGTCATATCCTCACATGGCCTCTCCTATCATTGCTACGCTGACGATACACAACTAATCTTCTCCTTTCCCCCTTCTGATAACCAGGTGGCGAATCGCATCTCTGTATGTCTGGCAGACATATCAGTATGGATGACGGATCACCACCTCAAGCTGAACCTTGGCAAGACGGAGCTGCTCTTCCTCCCGGGGAAGGACTGCCCATTCCATGATCTCGCCATCACGGTTGACAACTCCGTTGTGTCCTCCTCCCAGAGTGCGAAGAGCCTTGGCGTGACCCAGGACAACACCCTGTCGTTCTCCGCTAACATCAAGGCGGTGACCCGATCCTGCAGGTTCATGCTCTACAACATTCGGAGAGTACGACCCTGCCTTACACAGGAAGCGGCACAGGTCCTAATCCAGGCACTTGTCATCTCCCGTCTGGATTACTGCAACTCGCTGTTGGCTGGGCTCCCTGCCTGTGCCATTAAACCCCTACAACTCATCCAGAATGCCGCAGCCCGTCTGGTGTTCAACCTTCCCAAGTTCTCTCACGTCACCCCGCTCCTCCGCACACTCCACTGGCTTCCAGTTGAAGCTCGCATCTGTTACAAGACCATGGTGCACCTCCGTACCTTCAGGCTCTGATCAGTCCCTACACCCAAACGAGGGCACTGCATTCATCCACCTCTGGCCTGCTGGCTCCCCTTCCTCTGCGGAAGCATAGTTCCTGCTCAGCCCAGTCAAAACTGTTCGCTGCTCTGGCACCCCAATGGTGGAACAAGCTCCCTCACGACGCCAGGACAGCGGAGTCACTCACCACCTTCCGGAGACATTTGAAACCCCACCTCTTTAAGGAATACCTGGGATAGGATAAAGTAATCCTTCTACCCCCCCCCCCCCCCCCCCCCCCCCCCCCCTAAAAAATAAATACAAATAAAAAATAAAAATTGTAAAGTGGTTATCCCACTGGCCATAGGGTGAATGCACCAATTTGTAAGTCGCTCTGGATAAGAGCGTCTGCTAAATTACGTAAATGTAAATGTAAATGTGACAATGATGTAGGCTGTGCTGTTAGCGGTGCTGATATGAAGGTTTGGCTTGGAAAGGATTTCTCGCCTTGTCACAGACAGCTGATGTGTTGTGAACTGTAGTCCTCAAGCGAAGGGAAACGGTGAGAGGAATAATATATACAACGAGCTGTTTGTATGTGGCTGCTATGAAAGTCAACTGTGTTTGCATGTGATCAGGGGTGTATTCATTGTGCCGATTCTGTTGAAAAACATTTCTTAAACGGAAGCAAATGGAACGAAACAGGGATAAACATATCTGAATTTTTCCAATAGAAACTCTTGTTTGCAACTGTTGGACTAATGATTACACTCTAGATCAGCTAGATGCAAGCAAGAGTGTGCAAGGCAGTATTGAATGTGTCACTGTCTGTCACCTTGATTACTAAAAACATTCTCAACCTGTGCACCTATGTTGTAAACTTTCATTCATAGGCTAGGTTGTACCAACCTCATGATGGGTACAGGGAAAATTTGAGCATCATGTAGTAGCCTAAACCTATCGATGTTACATTGAGCTGGGTGAACATAATATGAATGACAGTCATCCAATATGCTGTAATAGAAATAAGGCCATGTTCATAAAAATAAAATCATCCTCCCTCACCGACCGCCACTGATTTACAGTCAGTAGTGAACTCCTTAACAGAGACCAACCAAGGAAAGCACATGGCCATGGATGTTGACCGCCACTACTGAGTCCTTCAGTGGAGCTCTCAAAGCCCATTTTCTCAAATCCGGACTTCGAGGCCAGTAGTAAGGCTGATTTCCTTGTTTTTCTCTAATCTGGGACTGATTCAAGGAAAACCAGCCTGGGATTTGAGACTCCCTGCCTAACAGCTAATAACCCCCTAAAAAAAAGAATTTGGTCATTGAGAAAACCAACAGGGCATCTTGCCATTGGGAGTCATTGAGCAAACAACAATGTTATTACCTGAATCGATGGGAATAGTTGATTCGATTAGCATTTAATTGAGGATGCAGTATCGAGTCACAGTACATCTTATGAGATTAGTTAGCCTGACAACATGTTTGACCTCTCCATTCTAGACAATAAAGTCACATTGACATTGCTTTAGCAGTGTATTCTTGAAATATGACCTGTATAATCAAGTCCATCTATATGGGCCAAATACATTTCAATCAATCATTTGATCTTCAAGGAAGGAATAAAAAAGGAGTAAGATCTAGGAGGTTGGTTTGAAACTGGCCAGAAGTGAGCCCAAATCAGCTAAAGGAGGTCCATGGATTGGCCACTAACCTAGCTGGCTATCGCGCTTCCTGCGTAGACGCTGTCCATGGAAGATGCCGTTGACCCTCTGTCCCCAGGCCTGCTGGCCCCTGTCATCCCTCACCCCACACCTGCACGTGCCATCTGGTGCAGTGTGGCACTGTCCGACCGCCCCAGTGGGGGGACTGGCAGTGGTGAGCACTGAAACTCCTGAGAGGCAGACAGCAGGAGAGTATGGATGAATTATAAAGAAGAGTGATGCAACTAATATCGGAGAGGCACATCAGAGAGCAGTAGAATAAAAAGTTCCAACCCTATAATTGGTGCAATCAATATAGCACTTTACAAGTAATCCACATGTGATGATGGTAGTGTGTGTTGTTTACAACTGAAATCAAACCTTCAAATCAAATCTATTTTATTGGCACATACACATATTTAGCAGATGTTAGTGCGGGTGTAGCGCTAACAATACACAACAATACACACAAATCTAAAAAGTTTTTTTTTGGATAAATTGAAGGGGACGGGGGAAAAAAAAACCAAAATACACCTTAAAATTAAAAGAGGGTTAAAAAATTGTAAAAAATTCCCCCCAAATTTCCCCTTTCTTTTTTCATTTGGAGTGTTTTTGGGGAAAAAAACCCTTTTTTTTTTAAATTTTTTAAAAATTTCCCCAAATTTAAAAAAAAATATTTCATTTGAAAATGTTTTGAAAAAAGTGGAAAATAAAAAAAAGAAGCGTGGGTTTTTAGACCCGAAAAGAAAAAAAATAATTTTTTGATTTTTCAAACAAATATAAGAAAGGAGGTTGAAACAAAGGGGGAAAAACCCTTTTTCTCCCCTTTTCCTTCTCCCCAATTTTACTTTATTTTTACTTTATGCCCTCCTGGGGCAAAATTCACAGTCTTTTTTATGTTGTGACCATCCACTTTCCTTTGAAAAATTCCAAAGTTTTTTTTTGGGGGTTGGTTTGGAAATTGGTGGCCATCATCTTATTTGGTCCTCCATCCACACCTTGATTGACCTGGCTGTGTGGCATGGCGCATTGTCCTGCTGGAAAAAACCAATCCTCAGAGTTGGGGAACAATGTCAGAGCAAAAGGAAGCAAGTTTTTCCTTCCCAGGACAACCTTGTATGTGGCTTGATTCATGCGTCCTTCACAAAGACAAATCTGCCCGATTCCAGCCTTGGTGAAGCACCCCAGATCATCACCGATCCTGCACCAAATTTCACAGGGGGTGCGAGACATTGGTGGCTTGTAGGCCTCTCCAGTCTCCGTCTAACCATTAGACGACCAGGGTGTTGGGCAAAGCTGAAAATTGGACGCATCATAGAAGATGACCTTACTCCAGTCCTCTACGGTCCAATCCTTATGGTCTTTTGCAAACCTCAGCCTGGCTCTTCTTTGCTTCTCATTGAAGTCTAGCTTTGCAAGACCTCAGTCCTGCCCCTAGGAGCCTGTTTCGAACCATCCTCTCCATGCACTTCACTCCAGCTGCCGTTTGCCATTCTTTTTGTAGGTCACTTGATGTCATCCTACGGTTGTTGAGTGACATTCGAATGAGTTGGCGGTCATCCCGGTCAGTAGAGAGTCCGTTTTCGCCCTCTGCAGGTCTGTAGCTTTGTTTGTCCCCAATATCTGCTGCTTGACCTGTTCTTATGACCGCCGTCTTTTAAAATTTTAAGGATGGAAGCAACCTGATGCGCACTGTATCCCTCTGCCAGTAAAGCCAGAATTGACCCCTTCTTTTCCTCACTCAAAACTTTCCTTTTCAACTCTTTTGGCATGGTCAATAGTTATTTTTTGATTAATATTACTTTTGAGGTACTATTAGCACTGTTTTTGTCATCCAGCTGGTCCTATTGCAAGAGGATAGTGATGACCACAGCAGTGGTTTATATACTTTCCCTTTTCTTTTTAATAAATTTTTCGTGATATTCGTAAATTTAAAATATGGGTGTTTTTAATTCAACGCCTTAATTGGGTGTATCATCCTTTAATTTTTTCCAAGTTTTTATCCACCTTAAAAAATTTGGGCCCAAAAATTTCCTGCCCGAAAAATACAGGGGGGGCAGTTTTTTCACTTTCCCGATTTTTGAGGTTTTTTTACAAAGGTAAGGCTTATGGAAAGGACACCCAATTAGAAACCCAAAAAAAATGAAATCATTGTTATTTTTACTAATTTTTGATTTTTAGACAAAATTTGTCAAAAAAGAGACAAAAATTTTTTTGCTTACAAATTACTTTCCGAGGTTTCCTTTTAAAACCTCAACAAATTTTTGCCCCCCCCCCCAACATTTTTCCAAATTTCAGGGGTTTGGGCTTTGGGGGGGCAAACACTTTTTGCCCCCCAAAAATTTTTTTTGGCATCTGGCTGGCTGGTCCGGCCCTTTGTTTTTTTACGGACCCCCCAGCCCTCTTTGTTTTCGGGTGGTTTTTGGAAGACCCCAACCCCTCCATCTCCTTAAATTTTTGGCCAGTCCGTTGGGCCCCTCCCCCCCTCCCCAAATGGTTGCCTTCCCCCCTTCAGGATTTTGTTTTTTCCCCCCCCCTTTTTCCCCCACGGGATGGGTTTTGGGGGAAAACCCTTTTTTTCCCCCCAAACAGCGGGGGTTTTCCAAAAACCATTTTGCCAATCAACCCCTTCCCCTTTCCCCCCGGACTCGGGGCAGGAAATTAGACGGCCTGGTTCCGGTTCCCGGGGGCCCTTTCCCGGGGCCCCGGTTTTACCAGCGCTTTGTGTGTTCTAATTTTTCTTTTAATGTGCCCCCGTTTTCTTGAAGGCCGCCGGTGTTCGGGCTGACCCCTCCCCTTTCAAAATTGGCCCAAAAAGGGGGGGCTTCAAGCCCCAGCCGAGGGGATTCCGCTTTTGAATTTTCCCTTTTTAATTTTCCCCAAATTTTTTCCTTCCACCCGCTTTCCATTGTTTGGGGGGGCCCTGTTGGGGCAGGTTCTTTTTTCCGTTCTTTAAAAGCCCCTTTCGGATTGTGAGAGGGGGGGCTTTTAATTTACAGGTCTTAACGGAAATTTTAAAAAGGTTTGGGTTAAAAACGGGAAAGATAAACAATTTAAAGAAAAACTAAATTTTGAACTGGAATTTTTTTTGGTGGGGTTTAATTTAAATTTATGAAAAATCAAAATTAAATTCTTAAAAAAAACCTAAATTGATTTTTCATTTTTGTTTTGACCGTCCTAATTTTAAAAAGGATATAAAAATTAAAGATTTCTTTTTAATAAAAAAAAAATAATGAAAAATATTGTTCTCCCCCCCCCGTCTAAATATTTTAAAAAATTTAAACAAAGCTGGAAATTGCATTTAAAATTTAAAAAAAATTTTTTAGTAATTTGGATTTAAACTTTTCTTTCCTAAAAACCTCCATTGAGCTTAAGCCTTCAGACCTTTCTTCTAGTGCGGAGGTAAATTTTAGGATTTTACCCTGTTCCCGGCACCTAAAGGGGTTCGTGGGGGCCCTTTTTCTAATGGTCCCAAATGCCCCCGCCCCGCTTAGGGGAATGTACGTGCGGCCACCATATGCAAAACCCCTGATTCCTTCTTCCTAAAAAAATTTCTTATAGTTTTTACCTTTGGGGATTCCTTTTTAAGGAAAAGGGCCCCTCAAACCCCCACAGGGGTTCAAGGGGGGTTGAAAATGGATAAGCCTTTCCTTTTTCCAAAATCCCCTTTTTTTTCTCCCTTTCCCCCACCAAAGCCCCCCCGACCACACTTTCCCCAAACTTTCAAATGTTCCCAAACCCCCCTCCGTCTTTTTTTTGGTTTTTTCCCCACAAAAATTTTTTTTTTGGATCCAAACCCCTTCTTTGATTTGCTGTCCCTCCTTTTTTTCCCTCTTCCCTTTATTTGTTTTTTTTTCCCTCTTTTAAAATTTTTTTTTTTTTTTTTTTCCTTGAGTTTGTTTTTTGCAATTGCCCCGAAGTGCACCCGGGTCCCCCTCTTTTTATTTGGGGTTTAGCTGGTTTTTTGAGGATATTAAACGCCGTTGGGGGGAGGCTCGTTTCTAAATCCTTAATGTTTTTTTTCCCCCGCCCTTTTACCCCCAGTATTTTTTTTTTTTGGCCCTTTTGGTTTCTGTGAAGGGAGTAGTACACAGCGTTGTACGAGATCTTCAGTTTCTTGGAAATTTCTCGCATGGAATAGCCTTCATTTCTCAGAACAAGAATAGACTGACGAGTTTCAGAAGAAAGTTATTTGTTTCTGGCCATTTTGTTTCTGTAATCGAACCCACAATTGCTGACGCTACAGATACTCAACTAGTCTCAAGAAGGCCAGTTTTATTACTTCTTTAATCAGCACAACAGTTTTCAGCTGTGCTAACATAATTGCAAAAGGGTTTTCTAATGATCAATTAGCCTTTTAAAATGATACACTTGGATTAGCAAACACAACGTGCCATTGGAACACAGGACTGATGGTTGCTGATAATGGGCCTCTGTACGCCTATGTAGATATTCCATAAAAAATCAGCCGTTTCCAGCTACAATAGCCATTTACAACATTAGCAATGTCTGCACTGTATTTCTGATAAATTTGATGTTATTTTAATGGACAAGAAAAAGTGCTTTTCTTTCGAAAACAAGGAAATTTCGAAGTGACCCAAAACTTTTGAACGGTAGTGTATATGATGGGATTATGGACAGTATATGGATAGAATATGTAGTATATCTGAGGAATACGTAGGATAGAATAGTATATGTACAGCAATAGTTAAATAGGATAGGCCTTGACTAGAATACAGTATATACATACGAAGTGGGTAAAACAGTATGTAAACATTATTAAAGTGACCAGTGTTCCATTCAAGGCTCTAAACTTGCTGAGCATGGGGGTAATGCATCGTCTAGCTCTCCATTAGTGTAAAATGCGTGTAGTCTAAATATCAGCATAAATAATAGCTGTCATAATACCACTATCACCTGGATAAATACCAGGCTCTGGTGGCAGACTGTTACTTCCATTAGGGAAACCAAGCTTTTGCTTTGTGATAGAAAATAAACATGCAATACATTTCAATAAATCTTTTAAATGAGTTAGGCTTTTCTTCTCCAAATATTCAGTAACTTCCAGTGCAACTGTGAAAACAGAGACGTGTGCTTGCTTTTTCACTCAAGCACAACTGGGGAATGGGACACACTTTTGGTAAAGCTATGTCAACACAACCTCAAAGATATTTTCACAGAGAATTAAACGTTTTTCCTCAGATTTGATATTCTGAGAAATTAGTAAGTAAGTACACAAAGTCTACGAAAAATGTATATAGCATCTTCTTTAACAACCAATACATTGTAATCAATCATTGACCACACTCGATTAAAAGTTTCCCTAATTTCCCATTATTACTGTAAAGTGCTCTTTCTGGTAGGTTAAATGATGCCAGCCATATTGTACCTGAGAGCTGTGTTGACCTCAGTATTATTGTGTTGGTGATTCTCCTCCTCTAGGTATCCATACTTCTCCAGAAAATTCTATACAGGAAAACATAGAACATACAAACAAATTCAGAATGTGTATCACACTCTCTCCTTGACCATAGACTATTTTCAAGGTAAGAAAAGGAAACAAAGCAATAGGGGAGATTGTGGTAAATTGAGCCAAAGAGGTAAGTTTAGCCACCCTTTTTCTAGGAAACCATACACAAAATTAATAATTTGACCAAATATTTAAGAAAAATATATCATTTCATGGAGTCTGTGAAGGAAGAAACCACATGGAAAAAGTGGTAAATAAGTTAGGTCCAACAAACGGATTTTCACCAAGTCAAATGAATTTATTGTGTTAGAAGTTTCATGATGCTTGTATCTAAACCAAAGTAGATAATTGTAAGATTGTTCTATACATCCGTTGGGGTCTCTATAAGCTTCAATGTGAATTCCTAAACCTAGCATGAAAGTGCATCCTTGTAGCTGTGTGGGCTAATATAGTCAAAATGTTTGCCTTGGAGTAAGTTGAGCCAATGGTCATGGGGTAAGTTAAGCCAATGGCAAGTTTAGCAAATTGAAGTGTTTTCTGCCCAGGCATAATGCAAGGCATTATCGCTGGGATATGAGATAACAACAGGGCTTAAAAGTGTTTAAAAAAAAGTACAAAGTGTTTGTTAGGTGATAAGCCTGTGTTAAAATATGCTTAAAATGTGATTATGTTGAATTGTGTTTGGGAAATAAAGATAGACATGGTTTTAAAAAGGTAGTGGTAATATTTCATTCAGTACAGAAATGTATAGGCGGCTTAACTTACCCTGTCCCGTGGCTCAACTTACCCCATACCCAAGGTAAGTTGTGCCAAGAGACCACTTTTCTTTGGACAAGCTATGTTTTCAAAACTGTAATGATTAGAGGATTTCTGATGATTTCCATGGATACACAACATCCTGAAATATATGTAAATATTGTTGTTAGAAAGAATACTATATTTCCCTTGATGGAGTGATGGTGAATGTAAAAACAGCTCAACTTTCCCCACTCTCCCCTACAAAGTAATTGAGTAATTTGTAGACTACAACAAATGCTTTAGAATACCATGGTCAAGACATCTGGCCTGGAGGGGAGAGATGAAAGCATTGGGCTGGTATGAAAGAACCTGAAAAGTAATCAAGCACTGAGTGAATGCAGCGGAGGACTCAAATTAGGGCTAAGTGGTCTTAGAATCATTATAGCAGATGCTAACACCAGAGATGCCATTGAGAAGTTTCACACCACTGCCAGAGATGTTTGTGGTGAGGGAACAACCCATCATACTTTTCCGTGACTGGATTGATTAGGCCCTGAGGGCCACCAGCCAGCGCTGTTCCCATGAGCAGCAGGGAGCGAGCAGAGTGCATTGTGGGATGTGGCGCTCAGGCCCACTTCTGCAGCTGGGTGATGATGGGCGGCACTCCCCTGGGCCTTCTGTGGCCCAGGTCCCTTAAATGGCTGCCTAATGGAAACCAGCCAGCACAGCTGGGTAGAGACTAGAGAGAGGGGCCTCTGCATTAGAGTGGAACTCCACAGACTATTTTCAATGCAAAGAAAACCAGACGGGTTGAATTGACTGGGTACTCTTGGGTTTTAAATAAGGCTGGATCTAAAGCACGCTAGATGATACAGAGTTCCAACAGACAGATACACTGGACCATTGGTAAATCAGAGTGCCATTGCGAAATCCTAACTTGAGATCAAGTGACGGGCATGCATCTAAAATTAAGATTCAGCCCGACAAATTATGAGTCAGTTCTCTGTTGTTCACTTTACTCTTCGTAATTTGTGTGACCCAAAACTATAATAGAGGAAAATGTGCTGTACTGTACTGGAAAAAATGTAGGAATAAGGCTACAATTAGGCTAGACCACAAAGAGCTCACAATGTAGCCTAGTTTGTTGATCAAAAGCTCCATTCCCAAAAAAAGAACCATGAAACTGGGACCGACATTTTATGACGCAAAGTACAGTGGCTTGCGAAAGTATTCACCCCCCTTGGCATTTTTCCTATTTTGTTGCCTTACAACCTGGAATTTAAATGGATTTTTGGGGGGTTTGTATCATTTGATTTACACAACATGCCTACCACTTTGAAGATGCAAAATATTTTTCCTTGTGAAACAAACAAGAAATAAGACAAAAAAACAGAAAACCTGAGCATGCATAACTATTCACCCCCCCAAAGTCAATACTTTGTAGAGCCACCTTTTGCAGCAATTACAGCTGCAAGTCTCTTGGGGTATGGAAGCCTATTCCCCCTCAGGAGATTGAAAAGATTCGGCATGGGTCCTCAGATCCTCAAAAAATTATACAGCTGCACCATCGAGAGCATCCTGACTGGTTGCATCACCGCCTGGTATGGCAACTGCTTGGCCTCCGACCGCAAGGCACTACAGAGGGTAGTGCGTACGGCCCAGTACATCACTGGGGCCAAGCTTCCTGCCATCCAGGACCTCTATACCAGGCGGTGTCAGAGGAAGGCCCTCAAAATTGTCAAAGACTCCAGCCACCCTAGTCATAGACTGTTCTCTCTGCTGCCGCACGGCAAGCGGTACCGGAGTGCCAAGTCTAGGTCCAAAAGACTTCTCAACAGCTTCTACCCCCAAGCCATAAGACTCCTGAACAGCTAATCATGGCTACCCGGACTATTTGCACTGCCCCCCCACCCCATCTTTTTACGCTGCTGCTACTCTGTTAATTATTTATGCATAGTCACTTTAACTCTACCCACATGTACATATTACTTCAACTATCTCAACTAGCCGGTGCCCCCGCACATTGACTCTGCACCGGTACCCCCCTGTATATATAGCCTCCCTACTGTTATTTTATTTTACTTCTGCTCTTTCTTTCTCAACACTTTTTTGTTGTTGTTTTATTTTACTTTTTTATTAAAAATAAATGCACTGTTGGTTAAGGGCTGTAAGTAAGCATTTCACTGTAATGTCTGCACCTGTTGTATTCGGCGCATGTGGCCAATAAAATTTGATTTGATTTGATGTCTCTATAAGCTTGGCACATCTAGCCACTGGGATTTTTGCCCATTCTTTAAGGCAGAACTGCTCCAGCTCCTTCAAGTTGGATGGGTTCTGCTGGTGTACAGCAATCTTTAAGTCATACCACAGATTCTCAATTGGATTGAGGTCTGGGCTTTGACTAGGTGTTAAGTTAATTATTTATCAAACTATTCTGTGTCTGTGCGTCTCCCAAAAGGATCAAGAAACGGACAGAGTCCCGATCTGCATAGTCAGGGATCTTTATTCATTGAGAATTCTGCCATCACAATTTCAGAGTCCATCTTTTATACTCATACGTCATACAAACATCCCTCCTCTCTGTAGGCGGGCTGTAGTTTTCCACTTTAAAACTGCTCTCCTAACCATTAGGTCACACACATACACATACACACACACACACACACATAGGCTGCCTCACAATATCCTGCACCATATTTCATACTCATTAAAAAGCCTAACAGCTTCTCTCCTCCCTAAATTCCTCAGTTATCAGTTGCCTGTAGACAGTTCTCCTTGTCCTTTGTTGTCTGGCCTAACTCTTACTCACATTGCTAAATAGTAACACAATGTCATAATCTTTACTGGTCCTACACTCACACATTCTAACACATTTCACACAGTTTCAGGGTGTAATAATTAGTCATTAATAATTAATCTATCACTAGGCCATTCCAAGATATTTAAATGTTTCCCCTTAAACCACTCAAGTGTTGCTTTAGCAGTATGCTTATGGTCATTGACCTGCTGGAAGGTGAACCTCCGTCCCAGTCTCAAATCTCTGGAAGACTGAAACAGGTTTCCCTCAATAATTTCCCTGTATTTAGCACCATCAATCATTCCTTCAATTCTGACTAGTTTCCCAGTCCATGCCGATGAAAAACATCCCCACAGCATGATGCTGCCACCACCATGCTTCACTGTGGGGATGGTGTCCTCGGGGTGATGAAAGGTGTTGGGTTTGCGCCAGACATAGCGTTTTCCTTGATGGCCAAAAAGCTCAATTTTAGTCTCATCTGACCAGAGCACCTTCTTCCATATGTTTGGGGAGTCTCCCACATGCCTTTTGGCGAACACCAAACATGTTTGCTTATTTTTTTATTTAAGCAATGGATTTTTTCTGGCCACTCTTCCGTAAAGCCCAACTCTGTGGAGTGTACGGCTTAAAGTGGTCCTATGGACAGATCCTCCAATCTCCGCTGTGGAGCTTTGCAGCTTCTTCAGGGTTATCTTTGGTCTCTTTGTTGCCTCTCTGATTAATGCCCTCCTTGCCTGGTCCGTGAGTTTTGGTGTGCGGCCCTCTCTTGGCAGGATTTAATGGTGCTCCGTGGGATGTTCAAAGATGTGGATATTTTTTTATAACCCAACCCTGTTCTGTACTTCTCCACAACTTTGTCCCTGACCTGTTTGCAGAGATCCTTGGTTTTCATGGTGCCGCTTGCTTGGTGGTGCCCCTTGCTTAGTGGTGTTGCAGACTCTGGGGCCTTTCAGAACATGTGTATATATACTGAGATCATGTGACAGATCGTGTGACACTTAGATTGCACACAGGTGGACTTTATTTAACTAATTATGTGACTTCTGAATGTAATTGGTTGCACCAGATCTTATTTAGGGGCTTCATAGCAAAGGGGGTGAATACATATGCATGCACCACTTTTCCGTTATTTATTTTTTTGAATTTTTTTTAACAAGTTATTTTTTCATTTCACTTCACCAATTTGGACTATTTTGTGTATGTACATTACATGAAATCCAAATAAAAATCCATTTAAATTACATGTTGTAATAGGAAAAACGCCAAGGGGGATGAATACTTTTGCAAGGCACTGTAGACATAAAGAATGAAAACGGAGCCATTCAATCTTGTTGTCTCTATGAGTAAGAGAATCAAAGGTTGACATATTCCAGGCTTCCACAAATACAGAGCCTTAGCAGTTTTAGAAACAGAAAAATAGCTACTTGTTGGTAAAAATGTTCTCAATTCACAGGCTTTCTTCTCAGTTAGACACTTCAAGTGCTTTAAACAAGATGAAGGCTTCTTTGGTGGAAGGATGCTCAGTGGAAGAACACATTCCTCCACCAGGAGAGGCCTAAAATTCCAGTTGCCACTTGCCTCCTAGTTTACACCAACACAATGAGCCTTTCACTTGACTTTCACTTTCTGGAAGGTGAACAACCATAGGTCAAGTGGAACAGAAAGTTCTCTCAAATATAGTTCAGTGTTGTTTCGGACATCAGGGACCTCTGTCAATGACTTATTTCAACAGAAGCGCATGACAACAACAGTGAAGTGTGCAATGATGGACAATATAAACTCAAAACAAAGGAGGAGACGGGGGAATAAGTCAATTGGATTGAGTGGGAAGTATCACAGAACAAGAGAAGTGACCAGTATCACACATTTAACACTCCTAAATTAATCTAAACTCGACAATTCCAGAAGCAAATCTGTAGTCAATATATGGGGACAATAAGGCCACAAGTAAACCTCATCTAATGGAGCAAGTCTACGCCTTGCAATAGTTTGTTGACTTGAGTGTTCCTGTGTTTGCAATGTGATCTCTGGGCAACTTGTATTATTCTGTATCTAAATCTGTGACACTCCATTTAGTATTACATTTACATTTACGTCACTTAGCAGACGCTCTTATCCAGAGCGACTTACAAATAGGTGCATTCACCTTATAGCCAGTGGGATAACCACTTTACAATGTTAGTATAATACTAAATAATATAATAATAATAATAATAATATAAATCTGTGATACTCCATTACTTTAGGTTACATTATGAATGGAATAGCAATTGTACAATATCATACTAATTTTAAGATGTACAGTATCATACGTCTTACCTGGTCGTACAATAGCATACGAATTGGATGAAATAACACACCATACGTATAGTATTCTACGTCTTTCTCTGAGCGTAGGTTGCTTGTTGCGCCATAACAACAAAGGAGAAATATGGGGAGAATTTATGTTGGGTGGTTAGGAGAATTAAAACGACAAAGGTTAGGTGAATTTACGTAGCAGGTTTGGTGAATTGTGTTACGTTTAGAATAAAGGTTAGCTAAAATTCTACAGTTGTCCTGATGCGACTCGAACATGCAACCTTTGGATTCCTAGATGGTTGCGGATTACGTCTACTCATCCTCCCCGACCAACCTCCCTACTTTCATTTCTGTCTAAAGTAACTAGACCATTAGTAGGTATTATACGTCTTGGAGGTACTCAGAAATACATAAAGTATGTTTCGTATGGCTCGGAGGCCAGGCTGGTGTACGACATGCATTTCCCTAAAGCGAAGGTACTCTCCCTGAACATCATCAAAGGATTGAATGCCCAGAACCCTTACAGTAGTAGGTTGCATGTCGTGTAAACATCATGCTAAACGGCACCACATCTAAAGACAGACCCATGTTGTGGTAAAACATAATGAACACATAAATGTGTTTGTGCTAAGCAGGATGCACAGTCATCCAAAGGAGCCCTGGTCACAATACTACTGTTATTGCCTCTCCATTTTCTTATCCCATGTTACCCAGGTCATGTGTTTGGGACTAAGGGTGTGTAGAGCCAGGGCAACAGAGGGTACAATGTTGGACTGGCGGGGAGGCCAGGGGAGGAATCCAAAGGGCAGATTTACCGAGACTTAAGGTCAGGGAAGCCAGGCAAGCTGGGGTCAGGACCAAACTGGGTTTTGTGTGCAAACCCTGATCTCTGTTTACCCCAAAAAGTAAAAAGTTGTAAAGCGTTGCTGAGAGTTATCCAAGCAGTGAGGGAATCATACTCCATCGTAACTGTGAGAGTTAAAATCAGAAAGATAACATGCCTCATACATAGCCTAGTTATCACATACAGTAATGTGAATCCAATGTTTAAAAAACTCAGAAATAGAGATGATAGAATTTTGAGTAAGTGTAAGACATGGGGAAGAAGTGGGGAAAGTATTCGGTGAAACTGTAATGACAGGAAAGTTTATGGCAGTACAATACCCGTTGCCTTCCTCAAACAATCGAGCATCATTTATTACACTGAACTATGAAAGACAGTCCTTGCCATAATTCATGATTTCCCAGCTAATTTGCATAACCTACCTCAGCACTAGTCTCAGGTGTTGGCGGGAGATTTAGCAGCACAGGTGTGCCAACGGTAACGGTTGCCTTCAATGTGAGCAGCACACAAGAAAGCTGGAACACGAATGTCCACAAAGTTTTCTCAGGTAAAATGTTCATCTTGCCGAAAACGCCAACGCAAGTCCTCATACTCGGCCACTTTCAATGACTGACATATGTGTTGACAATATATCCTGAAAGACATAAACTTGATATCGAGATGTCTACATATCGCCGTCTGTATCTGGAGCCACACTGCGAGGAGTCTGTTCAGAGACACCGCCTCCAAAATTGAATGATGTGCCTCGTTTCCAACATAGTTCCAACTTCAGTCTTGGAACTAAATATGGAGTTCCATAGCTGCATTCAATTTAGATTAATAACGCCTGTAACGCCCTGGGAAGAAAGGTTGGTAGCACCTGACCTTGTACCTGCTGAATAGTACTATTCCCCATACTAAACTACATACTATAGCTGAAGCCAGCGCACACATTTTCTTGAATACCTTTCTACACTTTATTACTTCTAAAATAAGTTAATATTTCCTGATGTATTAAAGACTCAAAATAACTGTTATTATTTGTTCAAAATGTGTTACTCACATTTTCTGTGTTTTTATTTTATTTTCATTCTTTACCATTGAAAACTACTATTGATTTGTCTTTTTATGCAATCAAAATATCATTATTGCCCAGATGGATTGCTGTTGAATAAAATGTCAATTTCAAATAGTTCACGATCTGAATATTGAAGACCAAGTCCCATACACTGTGCATAAAGTATTTTTACTCTGGACATTTAAAGTTAGTTATTACACCCTACATTTTACTGTAACACATGAAGCAAATGGCCATTAGGCTCATTTGAAAAAGTTGGCACTGGCAGGACTAGTTTACAATCTCACTGGATTTTTGAAGACCATTCCCTGTTACAGAAAGTACATTTGATATCAACAAAGATTCTTATATTATCCATAATGTTTGAGCTGGTTGAATGGTGGCTTCTACATCTGCATTGCTTGCTGTTTGGGGTTTTAGGCTGGGTTTCTGTATAGCACTTTGTGACATCTGCTGATGTAAAAAGGGCATTATAAATACATTTGATTGATATGATGACATGGCATTTTCCCTAACCCACCATTCACAGATGGTTGGGTGACCGCATCGAAAGGGGGCGGTATCAGGTCTGTTGTCAACATTTTTGCAGCACTTCACAGACAGCAGAGAAGGTTAGGACCCCTGGTATGGAAGTGGCGAAACACATATGACGTAACTGCAGGTGACTAGTGATTACGGTTTGAAACGTCATCAGGGAAAATTGGCTGGCAACGTGGCGTCTCCCAGTGAGAGTTCTGGGGATGACGAGGAGGAGCCCTGGCTGATGACTGTGGCACGTTTTGCGAGCATGGAGATGCAAGATATAGCAAGACTACTAAATTGGGCTAAGGAACAGAAGTTGGGTATTGTTGAAAGGTGTTAGAAATTGCGTAATTCAAATCTGGTATTGGAATAAGAGAAAACATAATCAAGAGATATTCAATCCAAGCTAAATTTATTATATGCAAAATGTATGTATGATAAGTATGTTGGTTCGTATACGGGCTCACTGAAATACCACGCAGGGCAGACAGAGAACTAAACCATTGTTTACAGGTTCTTTCTCAAATACTCTGACAGAGAGTTCCCACCTCTTCTGTTGGCCAATCAGAGTAAAGGACTGAGTGTGGTTTAGACTTTACTCAGCCAATCCGTTGGTGCACGGATTAGTCCCAATCCCTTGGCGCTCCACCCCTTGGCGCTCCACCGTTCCCAGGCATAAGTTGCTATCATAATAACCTGTAGAGTCAGCACCCAAAAGACACCCTTCCAATCTGTACTCTATGTACCTACGTTCAAGGACGGTTTCACAGACAACAAAGAGAGAGTGTTCGTATCTGTAAGAAATACAAGTCTTATCTGTCCTACCCCCTAACGTTCCTTACATGAATCACAGCCTGTTATGTGAAACAATTTATATCAGTATAGTAAAAACCTATGCTTATCATTAATGCATTCCTTCTAAGTTATTCATCACATACAGATCCAATTATGAGAAAAATAGAACCCAACAAAGGCCATCAGTGCGTGTTCTGCAAACAATAGGGCGGATGAAGGCGCGGCATGAGCGTGGTGAACGGATAGACGTGGGTATAGACAGCGAGGAAAAAGGAAAAGAGCAGAGTGCAGAGGGAAGATGTGTGTTGAGGAAGAAGGGGGCCAAGTACTACAAACCGTACTCTGCTGTTTCTGATGGCTCAGAAATGTAACCTGATGAGAGTGTGAGAAGTGTGCAGGAGGGCATGGGACAAAGGAATGTGTAGTATCGGAGGAAAAAACTGTGTGTGTCAATTGTGGGGGTGCCCATGTTGCTGGGAATAAGAAATGCCTGGTGCGAGAGAGACAGGTTGAGGTCAGAGTAGAATAGAAGGTGTTGTATGCTGAGGCAATGAAGAGAGTAGAGGAGGATGGGTCAAAGGTGAGTAGTAGCCTAGCTGCCTATCGGTTAAGAGCGTTGGGCCAGTAACCGAAAGGTTGCTGGTTCGAATCCCTGAGCCGACTAGGAGAGCAATCTGTCGATGTGTCCTTGATTAAGGCACTTAACCATAATTGCTCCTGTAAGTCGTTCTGGATACGAGCGTCTGCTAAATGACTAAAATGTAGTAGGCCAATACAGAGTGATACAAATGTGTGCTTCAGTAAGGTTGGCTTCTTACCATTCATTGCAGTGGTTATCAAATGTATCAGTTATGGTCAAAGTAGTGGGATGGGGTGGTGTTTGCTTTAGTATTTTTTTTTAACGAAATAGTGGTATATACAGTGAGGGAAAAAAGTATTTGATCCCCTGCTGATTTTGTTTTCAGTATCACAAATATGCAAAAGTAGAGAAAATTAGAATGGGGGCAAATACTTTTTCATAGCACTGTATATATATATATATATATATATATATATATATATATATATATATATATAGTGAGGGAAAAAAGTATTTGATCCCCTGCTGATTTTGTATGTTTGCCCACTGACAAAGACATGATCAGTCTATAATTTTAATGGTAGGTTTATTTGAACAGTGAGAGACAGAATAACAACAAAACATTCCAGAAAAACGCATGTCAAAAATGTTATGAATTGATTTGCATTTTAATGAGGGAAATAAGTATTTGACCCCTCTGCAAAACATGATTTAGTACTTGGTGGCAAAACCCTTGTTGGCAATCACAGAGGTCAGACGTTTCTTGTAGTTGGCCACCAGGTTTGCACACATCTCAGGAGGGATTTTGTCCCACTCCTCTTTGCAGATCTTCTCCAAGTCATTAAGGTTTCGAGGCTGACATTTGGCAACTCGAACCTTCAGCTCCCTCCACAGATTTTCTATGGGATTAAGGTCTGGAGACTGGCTAGGTCACTCCAGGACCTTAATGTGCTTCTTCTTGAGCCACTCCTTTGTTGCCTTGGCCGTGTGTTTTGAGTCATTGTCATGCTTGAATACCCATCCACGACCCATTTTCAATGCCCTGGCAGAGGGAAGGAGTTTCTCACCCAAGATTTGACGATACATGCCCCCGTCCATCGTCCCTTTGATGCGGTGAAGTTGTCCTGTCTCCTTAGCAGAAAAACACCCCCAAAGCATAATGTTTCCACCTCCATGTTTGACGGTGGGGATGGTGTTCTTGGGGTCATAGGCAGCATTCCTCCTCCTCCAAACACGGTGAGTTGAGTTGATGCCAAAGAGCTCGATTTTGGTCTCATCTGACCACAACACTTTCACCCAGTTCTCCTCTGAATCATTCAGATGTTCATTGGCAAACCTCAGACGGGCCAGTACAGTAATCCCTCGTTTATCGCGGGGGTTACGTTCCGAAAATGACCCGCGATAAGTGAAATCCGCGAAATAGAAACTTTTTTTTTACAATTAGCAACTATTACATGTATACAAATACAGTGACTCACGTGTAGGCCGTTTCACTGCTCTTCAGACTGGGCCGCTGCATCCTGACTGCGCTCTGCAGTGTTCTCTTCTTCTGAAGCCCGCGGTGCAGGTGTGTTTGTTCGGGAGAAGAACATAGTGATAGGCAGCTGTTGTCGCTCTTTTTTCTTCTTTGCAAAAAGATCCTTGTACACCGACATGCCACCATCGATTACGTTGGAGAACTGTAATGAACGGCTCATCAAAGGGTCCCATTCCTCAGCTACTCGCTTAAGTTCAGTGGCCATTCGCACCATGGTTGCTAAGCGACCAAGCGTTAGTCCTTCCTCCTCATCTCTCGTGTCCTCTTCTCCCTCTTCTCTTTCATCGTCGCTTTGTGGCTTTGTCATTTACCTTCCCTTAGCATGTCCAGAAGTTTAACTTTATCTGAGATAGGTAGCATCTTCCGCCGTTTGGGCCCATCCGCAGGTGCTTTTGTCGGTCCAGGCCGTTTCGTCGACATTATGGGTTTAGGAGATGTTCGAAATTACAAGATAATTTGGCCAACTTAATGTAAATTTGCCAAGCTGTTTTATGTACGTACACATAACTGTGGCAAACCTCAGACGGGCCAAGTATATGTGCTTTCTTGAGCAGGGGCACCTTCAGTCCTTCACGGCGTAGTGTGTTACCAATTGTTTTCTTGGTGATTATGGTCCCAGCTGCCTTGAGATCACTGACAAGATCCTCCCGTGTAGTTCTGGGCTGATTCCTCACCGTTCTCATGATCATTGCAACTCCACAAGTGTTATGTGAATTATTTAACAAACTATTTTAGTGTCTCTGTGCGTCTCCCAAAAGGTTGTAAGTCTTTTGGGATTTAAGTAACGGCCAGAGTCCCGGTCTGCATAGTCAGAGATATTTATTCATTGAGAATTCTGCCATCACAATTTCAGAGTCCATCTTTTATACTCATACGTCATACAAAAAGAAATCCCTCCCCTCTGTAGGTGGGCTGTAGTTTTCCACTCTAAAACTGCTCTACTGACCTTCAGTTCACACACACACACACATGCATACACACATACATACACACACACACACACACACATATCCTACTCCCTGCTTTACTCAGTTATTGCCGTTCTCACAATATTCTGCACCATGTTTTCATAACAGTTTCTACCCTCCCTAAATTGGGAGGCCTCTTTATCTTAGTTTCTCAGTTGTCTTTGTTGTCTGGCCTAACTCTTACTCACATTGCTAAATAGTGGCTCAATGCCATAGCCTTTACTGGTCCTACACTCACACATTTCTAACACATTATACACAGTTTCAGGGTGTAATAATTAGTCATTAATAATTAATCTATCAACGAGGTGAGATCTTGCATGGAGCCCCAGGCCGAGGGAGATTGACAGTTATTTTGTGTTTCTTCCATTTGCGAATAATCACACCAACTGTTGTCACCTTCTCACCAAGCTGCTTGGCGATGGTCTTGTAGCCCATTCCAGCCTTGTGTAGGTCTACAATCTTGTCCCTGACATCCTTGGAGAGCTCTTTGGTCTTGGCCATGGTGGAGAGATTGCTTCTGTGGACAGGTGTATTTTATACAGGTAACAAGCTGAGATTAGGAGCACTCCCTTTAAGAGTGTGCTCCTAATCTCAGCTCGTTACCTGTATAAAAGACACCTGGGAGCCAGAAATCCTTCAGATTGAGAGGGGGTCAAATACTTATTTCCCTCATTAAAATGCAAATCAATGTATAAAATATTTGACATGCGTTTTTCTGGATTTTTGTTGTTGTTATTCTGTCTCTCACTGTTCAAATAAACCTACCATTAAAATTATAGACTGATCATTTCTTTGTCAGTGGGCAAACGTACCAAATCAGCAGGGGATCAAATACTTTTTTCCCTCACTGTATGTGTTGGGTTGGTTGGTGGTGCAATGTTTTTTTTTTTTTTTGTATCACAAAATGTAATGGACCACACACTCCCGCACAGTAGGTGGCGGCATGCACAAACGCCATGATAGCAAAGAAGAAGAAGGTTTGTAGGGTAGCCAGCTAGCTAATGTCAACTTTATAAAGTTGAGCTACATAGCTATAGTGTTTGATTGATAAACTGTCTAACTACGTTGTTGTTAAAGATAATGTCAAAATTGCTGCTGACAACTTCGTGATAGTTGACCAATGTATTTGGCTATCAGCTTTACGCCAGCTAACTTTAGCTACTAGCTCGCTTTCATGCTAACTGATAAGCTAGCTAGCAAAAGCTACTCGCTAACTTAGCTGGCCAAAGATCTCTGACCTGCAAGTTACTCCTCAGGTCTGTCATCTTTCTAGCTAGATATATCTTGCATTTATTTGGTTATTTTACTGTAGAAAGTGTGATGACAACAGGACAATGATCAAAGTATGATGATGAAAAACCGATGAATAACGTTAGCTAGGTAACGCGCTAGCCCTGGCCTTGGTAACTTAGCTAGCTCTTGGTGTTTGAGTGCAACAAGTAGCTAGCTAGCACTACTTGACATCTCTTTTTCAGGCTAGGTAGCTATGCTTGCTAGCTAACTGGCGACCAATATGCCAACACTGGTTTACCATAACCAAATTGTGTTGCCATAGCTAGCTTCTTAGCTTGTCATGAGCTATTCTCACACCTATTTTAACTAACTACAACAATTGTCTTCAGCCATAGCTATCTAGTAGTGTTTAGTACCTAGTCTGATTAATCAGGTTGTAACGTTAATACACAATTAATTGGTATATACAGCCTGACGCTAATGCCTGCAAAATCGTGTAAATGTTCCTTACAAGCCATAATTTTGAATTCAATTACATTTTAAATTAATCTACCGGGACAAACTATCCATAGGACTATCCATATTGTTTACCCGACTTTTTAGAGAGCAGGTAGGTTTATGGTTCTGTTCAGCACCGAGGTCAAATTAATTTTATATTGGATGTTCGGTTTTTATCTTGTCAATATGCCGAGCTACTGAACAAAGCATGTCATGACAATGGAAATGGTAGGCTATTATCTGAATCGGGAGAATAGAAAACGATCAACACCTTTTTTTGTGTGTGAATTAAAAAAACAAATATTCTGATTTATATCTAAACAAAAATCTGCAATTCCCAAAAAGGTGTGGATTGTTCTCCCCTGATTCAGAACCATTTTCATTGTCATGGCATGCTTTGTTGAATAGAGCAACTGAAGGACAAACTGCACAGACAACCAGTAGAGTAAGTTTTTAATGTAATTTTATTCAACATTCTGTCTTGTAAGGAAAATGTACACGATTTGCAGGCATTACTTTAAGAATGTATATACCAATTCATTGTGTATTACAGCCTGATTAATCAGACTACTCGCCACCTAGTTACGCAGTTCTCACATCATTAATTGAAGTGAGCTGCCTGCCATCTGCAATGATTTGACAGGCCCCTAGCCTATTAAACTCAACGATTTACGATGGAGTTGGGCGGCGACTAGTGTGGGCGGACTGGATTTAAGCACCCAAAGAATAACACGCAATTACACAGGATAGTTCCAGCTAATCCACACTGCAGGAAACGAACCTACTAACATTTGACTCATCCTGTTGCCTAATCAGCTAACTACATCCAAGTATAGTCTCCTGTAAGTCGCTCTGGTTAAGAGCGTCTGCTAAATGACTAAAATGTAAAAATGTAAATGTCTTACAGGGGTAGTATAGACTTGTCAAAGATGCACTGTGTGACTTCAGAAGTTGTAACACATTTTGATCTTAAAACAGCAGCTGCCATGGCCTCTTCGGGGTTTCGGGGTGACGTTTCCCAGGTGCGCGGCGGCCGTGACTCCATCTTCTCTGAGGCCATCAACCAGAAGATGCGTGTCCCCGACCGCCTGAGAGTGGGGCCAGGCATGGGACAGAGATGGGAAGAGGAGAGGCAGGGGTGTGCGGAGTGTCCCGCATCCTACATCATGCACATCCCAGACAGGCTGTCTCTCACAGGTGGGTGCATGGCTGGTCTGGAGGTAGGCCTATTGATAAAGACAAAACATTTATATAGCTTAAGTTAGAAGTAGAGTTGGGATAGAACGGAGACGGGTCAGAAGAAAAACTATTTTAGCCACTTAACAATGCTGGTCCTAAAAGCTCTGTTGATGTTCTCAGGATTTGAGTCGGAGCAGTAATGGGATCTGTGTGTGTCCCTATGATATCTCAGTGTTCTGATATCTTTGTGACTTACTAATAGATGCCCCGGACATGAGCCCCCGTCCACTGTTCACGTCATCCAAGCAAGGCTCAGCCCTCCCCCTGGGGCCTGCATGGGAGGCACAGCAGCACAGTGCCTGGGACAGAGAAAGAGAACCCTACATGAGGGAACCAGTGCAGGTATGTGAGACTGTAGACTGGACCTTTTCTTTGGGAATGAGTTGTCTGACAATAATTGGATAAGTGTAGTGTCACTGAGACATACACTACCGGTCAAAAGTTTTAGAACACCTACTCATTCAAGGTATTTTTTTAATTTTTTTTGTCATTTAGCAGACGCTCTTATCCAGAGCGACTTACAGTTATTGAGTGCATACATTTTCATACTGGCCCCCCGTGGGAAACGAACCCACAACCCTGGCGTTGCAAGCGCCATGCTCTACCAACTGAGCTACAGGGGACTTTATTTCTACTATTTTCTACATTGTAGAATAATTGTGAAGACATCAAAACTATGAAATAACACATAACGAATCATGTAGTAACCAAAAAAGTGTTAAACAAATCAAAATATATTTTATATTTGAGATTCTTCAAATAGCCTCCCTTTGCCTTGACAGCTTTGCGCACTCTTGGCATTCTCTCAACCAGCTTCACCTGGAATGCTTTTCCAACAGTCTTGGAAGGAGTTCCCACATATGCTGAGCACTTGTTGGCTGCATTTCCTTCACTCTGCGGTCCGACTCATCCCAAACCATCTCAATTTGGTTGAGGTCGGGGGATTGTGGAGGCCAGGTCATCTGATGCAGCACTTCATCACTCTCCTTCTTGGTAAAATAGCCCTTACACAGCCTGGAGGTGTGTTGGGCCATTGTCCTGTTGAAAAACAAATGATAGTCCTACTAAGCCCAAACCATATAGGATGGCGTATAGCTGCAGAATGCTGTGGTAGCCATGCTGGTTAAGTGTGCCTTGAATTCTAAATAAATCACAGTGTCACCAGCGAAGCACCCCCACACATAACACCACCTCCTCCATGCTTTACGTGGGAAATACACATGCAGAGATCATCCGTTCACCCACACCGCGTCTCACAAAGACACGGCGGTTGGAACCAAACATTTCCAATTTGGACTCCAGACCAAAGGACAACTTTCCACCGGTCTAATGTCCATTGCTCATGTTTCTTGGCCCAAGCAAGTCTCTTCTTCTTAATGGTGACCTTTAGTAGTGGTTTCTTTGCAGCAATTAGACCATGAAGGCCTGATTCCCACAGTCTCCTCTGAACAGTTGATGTTGATATGTCTGTTACTTGAACTCTGTGAAGCATTTATTTGGGCAGCAATTTCTGAGGCTGGTAACTCTAATGAACTTATCCTCTGCAGCAGAGTAAATAGATGCATAAACATAAGTGTAGTTTGTACAATACAGTTAGAGCAGAGCAATTTTGGCATCGAACTTAAACACATTTTGAAATGCAACATTAAAAAAACATTCAACTGAATTAATAAATATTTCAATAAATAAACATACATTTAATCAGAACGTAATCCAACATACGCATAACGCAAACGTTAACATTTGGTTGTCATTTAAAATAAAGCTTTGGTTGTGGTCAACATACTGAAAATGTTGGTATGATGTTACTTAGAACCTTCCTTTTTATTCTTCTGCAGTGACACCATAGTCTGAATATTGATATTGGTCATTCCTATGTTGAGGACGTTACCGTTATTTAGCACATTCAACATTTTCCCCCTTTACCCCCCAGTTTGAGCCTTTTTCATTTGGGTTAAAATTCCAGGACAATTCCAGAGCATTATGTATGTTCTTTGGAGATTGTTTAATTGTTAACTCTGGGTCTTCCATTCCTGTGGCGGTCCTCATGAGAGCCAGTTTCATCATAGCACTTGATGGTTTTTGTGACTGCACTTGAAGAAACTTTCAAAGTTCTTGAAATTTTCCGGATTGACTGACCTTCATGTCTTAAAGTAATGATGGACTGTCATTTCTCTTTGCTTATTTGAGCTGTTCTTGCCATAATATGGACTTGGTATTTTACCAAATAGGGCTATCTTCTGTATACCCCCCCCCTACCTTGTCACAACACAACTGATAGGCTCAAACGCATTAAGAAGGAAATTAATTCCACAAATTAACTTTTAACAAGGCACACCTGTTAATTGAAATGCATTCCAGGTGACTACCCCATGAAGCTGGTTGAGAGAATGCCAAGAGTGTAAAGCTGTCATCAAGGCAAAGGGTGGCTATTTGAAGAATCTCATCTAAAATATATTTTGATTTGTTTAACCCTTTTTTGGTTACTACATGATTCCATATGTTATTTCATAGTTTTGATGTCTTCATTATTATTCTACAATGTAGAAAATAGTAAAAAATAAAGAAAAACCCTTGAATGAGTAGGTGTTCTAAAACTTTTGACCGGTAATATATAGTGTCAAGCCATTGCTCTGGGTGTCATTATTTAAAGTGTTCAGAGTCATGCTTAGGGAGAGCATTTGATGAGATGGAGTTATAACAAAATATTCAATCTGCAGGCACCACCTGGATTGAAACATTCCCAGCAGCTTCCATCTTGCCCTACCCTCACCATCTAACTCCGGGATGGCCAACTTTGATGGGGGTGGGGGCCACAAAGAAAATCTGCAATGGCTCGCGGGTCTTCATGCCCACATCTATACCCAAACATGCAGTTAGCCGGGCCTAGCCTTTTGGGGGGCCTAAGCAAAATGTGAAGTTTTAGAGTTCATTTCCTGCAATTCTACACATTTTGCCATAGGGTGGAGAGAAATGTTTGCATTTTTTAAATTTGATCTGACTGAGTGACTAACTAAATCAGTATGGGACCCCCGGTTGGTAATTTGACCAAGATTACAACAAGTTTAGCTGGCAGCAAGACTAACTTACAATCTAAAACATGTTAGCTGACATGGGCTAATTGAGTGACTGACGTAACAAGAGAAAAACTGCTGATGCACAACCACATTTCTAAATTGCACCTTGTGTATTCTATTCTTCTACCCGACTGAGTCCCCCCTCCTCCAAAAGAGATTTAGAAATTGATCCGCAGGCCTACAAAAGGGGGCCGCCAGTGTCCCATCCCTTCCTTATCTAACTCATGTTACTATTTCTCTCTTCTGTAACAGAGTCCACTGCGTAGGTCCTACAGTGACCAGGCTTTTGGCAGGAGCGACCCTGGCACCCCCACCTGCAAACAGACACCGCACACCCCTATCTCGTAAGTACAAGACACATTGGATTAAACACTTCTTAACTCCTTTTAAATGTCCCCATCGCGATCCATCTCTTTCCTTGGACCAGACTGAGTGGCTTACTAGATTTATATTTTAGTCATTTAGCAGACGCTCTTATACAGAGCGACTTAAAGGAGCATTTAGGGTTAAGTGCCTTGCTCAAGGGCACATCGACAGATTTTTCACCTAGTTGGCTCGGGGATTCAAACCAGCGACATTTCGGTTACTGGCCCAACGCTCTTAACCACTAGGCTACCTGCCTCTCGAAGTGCTCCTCTGCCCAGTGAGGGGGTTACATGTCCAACGCTTCCTCAGAAGCAGGGGAAAAAAGCTCCCAAAACATATGGTGCTGAATGTTTTCAGAACACTCTTCACTTTAAAACATTATTTTTGCTGGTTTTCATCACCTTGTGTACGAAACAACTTGGCCATATGTAAGCATAGTAGGATAAATTACTTATCAACATTATTTCAACACAACACTTGCCTGCTTTTCAAACCAGCTTGCCTTTTAAGCCTGGAACATTTTAGAAAGACACAAAGGGAAAGTTGCATTGTCGGCTTGGGACACTAAATTCTATTGACTTTGCGCTGCCTCAGGCCCCTGCAGCGATGTCCTCCTATTCTTCACCTGTGTTTCCAGCAGAGGGAGACAAACATTGGTTCCTCTGATCTCTAGCCTCTCCTTACATGTAGGTTATATTCGAGGCAACGTGGAGACAGTCAAAGTCATTTGAAGTTATTTGGCCTTGTCACTGCTTGGTAAGTGTTGTGCCCCTCTCTGTTTGCCCTCTGTCATTTGTGGTGATCCTACCCACCCCCACTCCTCCTCGTGCCTGTTATAGTTGCGGCGGTGCAGGACGCCCCCCTCAGCGCTCTACTGCAGCTGCAGACACCCTGCCCCTGCCCCTGCCCCTGGGGCTCCCTGCCATCCCACCCAGCCTCCTGTCCCCACAGACTATGCTGCAGGCTGCCAAGGAACTGGGCCAGCAGGCCTCACAGTGCCTCCTGCAGACTCTGTCACTCAGAATTACATGTTAGGGGATAGCGGCTACTCCTACCTTCTCCGACCTGAGTGACCCCTGCCTACCCACTCCTAAATCTTAACAAATGGCACCTAACCTCCTTCCATTCCTTCCTTGCTTGGGCTTGCATTACTGTCCTTACACTACTAGTTCTCACTTTCTTTACAAAGCTTTTGCTTCGAGAAAGGATTCAGTCTTGACTACAGGATAACTTCCTTTACTCACGACTTATGTTGAAATCATACTATACTGTGAAATGCTTGCTTACGAGCCCTTCCCAACGTTGCAGAGTTAAAAATAAGAAAAATACAAACAGGAACACGGGGAATAAAATACAAGAATTAAGCAATATACAGGGAGTACCAGTACCATATCACTGTGCAGGGGTACAAGGAATTTGAGATAGATATGTACAGTCCATTCGGAAAGTATTCAGACCCTTTGACTTTTTCAAAATGTTGTTACATTACAGCCTTATTCAAAAAATTTATTAAATAGTTTTCTCCCCCTCAATCTACACAAAATACTCCATAATGAGAAAGCAAAAACAGGTTTTTAGAAATTTTTGCAAATGTGTTAAAAATATGTTCGATCGGGTTCAAGGACATTCAGAGACTTGTCCCAAAGCCACTTCTGCGTTGTCTTGGCTGTGTGCTTAGGGTCTTTGTCCTGTTGGAAGGTCAACCATCGCCCCAGTCAGCTCCTGAGCGCTCTGGAACAGGTTTTCATCAAGGATCTTTATGTACTTTGCTCCGTTCATCTTTCCCTCGATCCTGACTAGTCTCTCAGTCCCTGCCGCTGAAAAACATCCCCACAGCATGATGCTGCCACCACCATGCTTCACCGTAGGGATGGTGCCAGGTTTCCTCCAGACGTGACGCTTGGCCTTTAGGCCAAAGAGTTCAATCTTAGTTTCATCAGACCAGAGAATCCTTTTGGCAAACTCCAAGCGGGCTGTCATGTGCCTTTTACTGAGGAGTGGCTTTCGTCTGGCTACTCTACCATAAAGGCCTGACTGGTGGAGTGCTTCAGAGATGGTTGTCCTTCTGCAAGGTTTTCCCATCTTCACAGAGGAACTCTGGAGCTCTGTCAGTGACCATTGGGTTCTTGGTCACCTCCCTGACCAAGGCCCTTCTCCCCCGATTGCTCAGTTTGGCCAGCTCAAGGAAGAGTCTTGATGGTTCCAAACTTCTCCCATTTTTAAGAATGATGGAGGACACTGTGTTCTTGGGGACCTTCAATGCTGCAGACATTTTTTTCCTCGACACAATCCTGTCTCGGAGCTCTACGGACAATTCCTTCGACCTCATGGCTTGGTTTTTGCTCTAACATGCACTGTCAACTGTGGAACCTTTATATAGACAAGTGTGTGCCTTTCCAAATCATGTCCAATCAATTGAATTTACCACAGGTGGACTCCAAGTTGTAGAAACATCTCAAGGATGATGAATGGAAACAGGATGCACCTAAGCTCAATTTCAAGTCTCATAGCAAAGGGTCTGAATACTTATGTAAATAAGGTATTTCTGTTTTTTATTACAAACCTGTTTTCACTTTGTCAATATGGGGTATTGTGTGTAGATTGATGAGGAACAAAATATTTAATCAATTTTAGAATAAGGCTGTAACGTAACAATGTGGAAAAGGTCAAGGGGTCTGAATACTTTCCGAATGCACTGTACATAAAGGCAAGGTAAAGTGACTAGGAATCTGGATAGATAATAATAATTGTAAAAGTGTGTGTGTGTACAGTCGTGGTCAAAAGTTTTGAGAATGACACAAGTATTGGTCTTCACAAAGTTTGCTGCTTCAGTGTTTTTAGATATTTTTGTCAGATGTTACTATGGTATACTGAAGTATAATTACAAGCATTCCATAAGTGTCAAAGGCTTTTATTGACAATTACATGAAGTTTATGCAAAGAGTAAATATTTGCAGTGTTGACCCTTCTTTTTCAAGACCTCTGCAATCCGCCCTGGCATGCTGTCAATTAACTTCTGGGCCATATCCTGACTGATGGCAGCCCATTCTTGCATAATCAATGCTTGGAGTTTGTCAGAATTTGTGGGTTTTTGTTTGTCCACCCGCCTCTTGAGGATTGACCACAAGTTCTCAATGGGATTAAGGTCTGGGGAGTTTCCTGGCCATGGACCCAAAATTTCGATGTTTTGTTCCCCGAGCGACTTAGTTATCACCTTTGCCTTATGGCAAGGTTCTCCATCATGCTGGAAAAGGCATTGTTCGTCACCAAACTGTTCTTGGATGGTTGGGAGAAGTTGCTCTCTGAGGATGTGTTGGTACCATTCTTTATTCATGGCTGTGTTCTTAGGCAAAATTGTGAGTGAGCCCACTCCCTTGGCTGAGAAGCAACCCCACACATGAATGGTCTCAGGATGCTTTACTGTTGGCATGACACAGGACTGATGGTAACGCTCACCTTGTCTTCTCCGGATAAGCTTTTTTCTGGATGCCCCAAACAATCAGAAAGGGGATTCATCAGAGAAAATGACTTTACCCCAGTCCTCAGCAGTCCAATCCCTGTACCTTTTGCAGA